CCTGTAAACCCTAAAATAGAACGGTGTGCCCTTGTCCGGGTGGGGTCCAAGTGAATTGTGTGGGAATAATGGTCATTACTGGCTCACACAGTAGCTCAGTCTTGGGTGGACAATCATAGGGACAAAAGATTATTGGTGGAAAATTGTAGGGGGTAGGATCATTAGAATAACTCCATACAGACAGTCTGCTAAACCTCGGTGTCACATGCGAAGGTATTTGCTTGATGAGAATAGAAATGGACTAAAAATGTGTTTGTTAATCTACCAACAAGGTGGTGACACTGAAAATAAAACCTTGGTGAAGAATTTCAGTTTTAGCACTAAAAGAATGTTATTATTTGCGGGTTTTTTAACATAATGTAAAATATATATGTTAAATTTTGTTTTACACATGAGTGCACATATGCACACACACACACACACACACACACGTACACACGGTATATATTAGTATATATATATATTTATTTTTGTATTTTTTCGAACCACTCTGAAAGGGCTGACAAGGTATCCTTGGCATGGTTGTAGACAGGTAGACATGTTTTTAGACGATCTTTTCACCAGCTCTCGTTTGCAGCGATCTGTATTTGTACAGATGAGCTGGCAGTTGTCTGTCGGTGCAGTAATCAGAAACCTGGCAACGCAGATACTTTGTAATCACATTGACAGACAGTCATGTACATGTGTCTGTAGTGCAGGGGGTCTACTACAGGGGGAGGGGGGATGATATCTGTACGTAGTGTATAGGGCAGACACGTTCTGGGAGGGGTGAGGTTAAATTCTCTAGTTGAGAGGGTGCATCTTAGGGTCAAGCTGGGTGGTTCCTTTGATGTGGTGAAGGTTTTATCGTCATATTCAGGTTTATTGCACTTATATAGATAAATGTCCATGCATGTGTGTGCGTGTGTAGCCGTTTGTACTAGTCCTTAAATGGTGCCAGCCCAATGAAATACCATGCCACAATTTTACATGGATAGCCACATATTCTTAATTGCTGTAAAATATGATGGAAGACAGGTCACATTCACATTGTGGATCAATCTTTTATGCATGCATATTTATTTTACCATATGAAACAGATTTGTATGACCGACAAAAGAAGAAACCCCAAGGCCTCACACAAATGTTTGCTTTCAATCCTTCTCTTTTTAACCAAGTTATCAGTTTGTTACCAAACACTGATACTTATGTTTAACTGTTGTAGACAAGATCTGGCCAGTGCAGACAAAAGCCTTTCTCACCGCCCCACCCTGCAATAACATGACTGATAAATAGTGTTTTGATTCTCCTGTTTGACATACAGCCTCCATCAGAGAGTGTTCCGCTCTGAAGGCGTTGTCAGTCTCCCTGATGTATATACATACAGTGCTGTACATACAAACATTGACATGGAGACAGCCTTGCACTGGTCACTAAACTCGGGCAATAAATGCCAGTTATTGTATCCAGTGTTTTACAGACATGTTTCTGTTGTTGAACCATTTTGATGACGCCATGCTATTGTAGTTGCAGGTGATTCCGAGCCAGGATTTCAATGCTATCTGAGAGTTCATTTTAACACTTAAAACATTTGTTTGTTGTTTCACACACACTCAGCAATATCCCAGCTGTATGGCGCCGGTCTGTAAATAAAGGAATATGGACCAGACAATCCAGTGATCAACAGCATGAGCATCTATGCAATTGGGAACCGATGACATGTGTCAACCAAATCAGTGAATTTGATCATCCGTTCCCTTTAGTCACCTTTTACGACAAGCATGGGTTCCTTAAGACCAATTTTAATCCAGACCTTCATGGAAAACACTTAAAAGAACAATTATCGGTCCTAATGGAAGGGGCAGTAGGGTAGCCTAGTGGTTAAAGCGTTGGATCGTCACGCCGAAGGCCCGGGTTCGATTCCCCACATGGGTACAATGTGTGTCTCCCGCCATGATATTGCTGGAATATTGCTAAAAGTGGCATAAAACCATACTCCCTCACTCACTCCTAATGGAAAATTATAGAGAAATTACATATTCACCATTACATGCTTTACATCAGGGACTTCGATCATTGTGGATGTAGAATTAACCAGCCCTGTATTTCAGTAACTAGTTTACATTTATTGCAGTCAGTTATTTAACCATCATAATGGCAGCATTGCTGCAGTTGATCGTGAGTCAGGAATTCTGAACTGCATTTAAATACTGACACAGCTGTCATTATTATACAGATTCTACTTCCATAATCAACAGATTGTCCTGGTTTCTCCATTATATATTATTCATACTGGCACTTGTGCTGTTGAACTACAGCAATATTTAGAGCTGTGACCATATATCGTAGTATCGATAATCGTGATACTTTATCTGACAATACATATACAGATACTTTTTTTTGTATCGTGATGGGTACAATGTGTGAAGCCCATTTCTGGTGTCCCCCGCCATGATATTACTGGAATATTGCTAAAAGTGGCGTAAAACCAAACTTACTCACTACTCGTATCATGATATGTATTTTGACCTTAAAATTGTTAATTTTCACTAGAAATTTATGGTAATGTCAAAATTTACACTGTTACTTGCTATGAAAATATATTTTTTTAAAGGAAATAACTAAATATAGCATATTGTGATATGCATCGAATCGAATCGTATCGTTCCAAGATATAGCGATACGTATTGCATCATGAAATTTCTGTATCGTCACACCTCTAACAATATTCTCAGTGGTTACAATGTCAAGCGCTTCTCTTAAATAGAGATTGTAGGGCACCAACTGCTTACAGTTTTTGCTCATCACGCCAACGACAGATTAACTGTAGCCAAGAAAATCAGGCATCCTTTAACTTTTTTTGAGTTGTACAGATAGCAAACGCATGTGAAACTCAGAAAATCCAGGTGGTTGTCTGCTCAGTGAAATCTTCTGCATTAAGGGTAATGGATATAGGCCACCATGGATTAACTGGTAGATTTTCTACTACATCCCTCCCTACATAATTTGTCCTTGAGTAGCTACAAAGGAACCCAGTGGGAATGTGGGCTGGAGCGAGTGAGTGAGTTTAGTATTACGCTGCTCTCAGCAATATTCCAGCTATATGGCGGTCTGTAAATAATCGAGTCTGGACCAGACAATCCAGTGATCAACAGCAGGAGCATCGATCTTCGCAATTGGGATACAATGACATGTGTCAACCAAGTCATCGAGTCTGACCACCCGATCCCATTAGACACCTCTTACAACAAGCATGGGTTACTGAAGATCAATTCTAACCCGGATCTTCGCAGTTCGAATGTGGGTTAGAATAGGTACCGGTAGTAATCAGCCTATGCTGTTCACAGAGGTGACCTGATGGATCTTGATAAGGTTCTGTGACTTGGTTGATGGTGTCTTGTACATCAACGCCATAGTTGTTGCTCACTATGTCCATCTCTGGATTGTCTGGTCCGGCATGATGGTATACATGCCGCCATCGTATTGCTGAGCGAAATGTTAAACTTAATAATGAGCAAACAAATCTTACTGACAAAGAAGCTGATCTCTTCTTTCGTCCCTTATGTGAACACCTGGTGCTATCGCTACTTCAGAGCAATTCATAAACACATTCTTATGAAACGTTCAGAATCATAGAGAGGATTCTTTTATAGCTCGGTTTTCTTATCAATATAGAATGGATTTCTTCTACTTGATGACTGACTAACTGACTGAGTTTAGTTTTACGCCGCTTTTAGCAATATTCCAGCAACATCACGGCGGGTGACACCAGAAATGGGCTTCACACAATTCTACTTGATGAAATACGCCATATGCATTGTCCATTTCATGTCAGTTATCTAAAGCAGATCTATGTAACAGCAAACATATATGTATTTAGGTGTAGAGGGATTGTACATGCACGTCGTAGGGTTCAAGCAGTCCTTCATGGTTTATGTTGCTACTTTGCTGCGAGTCTGTTCGAGGGTTCTCAGTTTTATAAAGACCTCTCCATGCTATCAAATATTTGCGAGGCAGTCACATATCTCTTTACAAACCCATTACATGTATTTTGAATATTACAAAACAAGTTTTTATTCCACGTTTCTATATTTAATTTCTTAAGCTTTCATTTGCACTAACTTGAAAATGCATTAAGTCCCTATACTTGACATGTAAGACATGTTGTATTAAGGATTTCAATAGCAGAGCATGTGCCTGGGTCACCCCTATCTCCAATTCTTTGTGCCACCGTGGGAATATGGAGAAAACAGGTAGCATCTCAAACAAAAAGTTACTTCATGGTGTTTGAGACTCGGTGCACGTGATGAGGCGAGCAGGTATAGAAATGATGCAAATACATGATGCTGGGGTATGATGGGAAGGTCACATGATCTGTGATATACATCGGGTGGGATCGGTTGTCAGGGTTTTATATCATGGGTGACATATTTAATGGTGGCAGACGATCATGCTTGGTGATATCCGAGGTTTCAAGAGACAGAATACTTATGTATGTACGGATGGTTGTGTGGTGACATTGAGATGGGATATTCCTAATTTTCATGGTTTATCTCTTTTATATGTTGTTTTATTGACATTTAAGTGTTGTTTCATGCTGGTATGTAATGTCAGTGGTGAATGTACTGTGACTGTGTGATAAATCAATCTGCCAATCATAGTGTCCATTATGTTTCATAATTTGAAACAAATGATGTGATTGGTTGGATTGATGTACAGATGACCACCACTTGCAAATAAGATAAGAGACATTTTCACCATCATATTTTCTTGATACCCATCATTTGAAGTCCTTTTAAGATGCAAATTAAGATTGTTTTCTTCAAAATGGGAATATTCACGGGAGCCTCACACAACGTTACAGTAATGACTTTCACATGAAAGTGAGGTAAATGAGTTGATGTATTTTCTGTTAGGTAACGGATATCAAAATGCTATCAAATTCTTTCTTTTTGAAAATTAGTCATCCAGTTTATGATGTCATCAAGTGACTCATGTCTAATATCTATCGTTTATTTCAGGATCGAGAAAAACTTGAGCAACTAAATGAGATTCTCAGCAACTACAGCCAAAATGGCCTACCGCCTCCACCTCCTCTTCTGGAACTGGGCAAGGAGCCAATCAAAGAGGAGACCTATGTCCTTGAGAGCCACTGGAGCGCCATCGTGGACCATGCATCGGTACGTCATGTTTCCCTAACAACATTGTAGTTTGTATTTATTCAGGGATGAGAATTTTCCGCGGATCCGCAGAATTCCAGGAATTTCATTAGGCCAAGGGTCATTTTTGTGAATCGTCCAAATCCGTTGACAATTGTATGAATGTGCTTTAGCAGATTTAAAGTTTTTTAATGGTTGCTGTGTTCATGAGGTTGTCATTTCTGAGCCAGTTTTAAAGGTCTAAAATGCCTAAATATCAGGAGCTTCGGCTAGTCTTCAGAGTTTTTCTCAAAAGTTCATTCTCATCCCTGTTTATTTATTCCATGATATTGATGGTGAAAGAGTCTTTTACTTGTTAATTGGAGTTGTGGATTTTTTTCGGATTAGTAAAAGTGCCACCTTGAACAATTGACAGTTGACTCTGAAAGGACTCCTGTGATATACCCAGAATGTTCTTTAAGTGAACGGTGAAGCCTAGTGGTTAAAGTGTTCACTTGTCACACCGAAGACTCAGGTTCGATTCTCCACATGTGTGAAGCCCATTTTGCTGTCCCCCACCGTGGTATTGCTGGAATATTGCTAAAAGTGGAGTAAAACCATACTCACTCACTTTCTGTGAAGGGTTAAAAAATGTACTGCAAATACAAGCCATGTGAGAGCAAGTGAAATTTTCCAACACTTTGCAATGCATACAGATGACTTGAACAGTTTCTTTTGAAAAGATTATCTAGTAAAGATTCCTGTTGCTCATGTAATAGAAATGGATGAAAGTCTAATAATTAATTGTGACATTCATATGGGAAATTATAGGTATGGAAACCAAGGTAGAATATCGTCATGGCAACAATGGGAAATTATAGGTATAGATTCCATTAACAAGGTAGAATATCGTGTTGTTGACCTCTGGTAGTGACCTCCATGTTCTGCTAACAAATGTTTCCCTAACTATTAAAGTTACAAGCCACTGACCAGACAGTTGTCACCCATGCAAACTTCTCTCCCAGAACCGTCCCAAACACATAAAAACCTCACGAAGCTAAACCTCAGCTTTCCATACCTAAAAGGGCTCCTATCACCTTATGATTTATAGTTAGCCTCTGGAAATTGTCTGTCTTTGTGAACATGATGTGCGTTACTATTTGTTGGTGGGGTGTGAGTTTTCCTGCTGAGAGAGTCAGTCATCCAGACACACAGGTCATCTTGAACAGCTTGTAGAGGTCATATAACCAGATCATACTGGACGGAACATTAACTCTGACTGAAATGTTTAGTTTATGATGCTATCATCTTTTCACAAATATAAGCAGGGGCTTTCTGGAAAAATTTGTCTTTTCATGGAGTTTGGAGTCAAAGGTTCAGTACGCTGAATTGAGTTTTGGTTGGTAGGTTGGTTTATTGAAATAAATTAAACATTGAATTCTTGGAAAACAGGAGAGGAACACTTTTTATGGATAGACAACTTCTTTTTGCAATAGCTGCGACGTTTTGGTGTAGATCTTAACACCGTTATCAAGCAGATGATGTTAGGAACTACACAGAAGCGTCGCATCTAATGCAATAAGGAAGTTGTCTATCCATGAAAAATGTTCCTCTTCATCATATCAGCTTCTAAATGCCACTTAAAGAAGTTCTTGAAAAACAGTCAAGTATATTTTAAGAGGTGAGGTGAAATTGGGTTTAACGTCGTGCTTGAGAATATTTCGCTCATATGACGACGTGCATGCATGTGTATGTGTATGTGCGGCTGCTTGTACTAGCACAGGCTGAAGCTGGTTTTATAGTGCTAGCCCACTGAGATACCATGCCGCAGTGAAGCATGAATACCCCACTCAGACACATTATACTGACTCGAGCTGACCAGTCCTTGTTGTACCCTTTTGGTATGACGCGGTCGGGAATCGAACCCGCGACCTTCCGCTCTCCGGGCGGACGCTCTAACCACTACACCACGGAGGCGGTAGTATTTTAAGAAGAAACAGTAAATGTATATGCATATGTATCTACATCTCTATCTTTTATTTGGCTCACCCTTCAGCAGACTTACCAATATGTCAGTATATTGTCGGAAAATGATATTTGTAACAAATGTGTGAAGCATTTCATATGCAGGTGGTACCAGATTGTGAAATAATCAAGGACAGATACTTAGGTATGGAAAAACTTTCAGAGAGTAATTTTGGTGTGTTTTGTCAGTTATTTTATGCCGCAATATTCTAGCCATAGATACATAATCTAAGCAGGACCAGACATTTGATTTATGAAAAATTAGATGAGATGACATGCATTTAACCAAGTCAGCATGTCTGATAACCCAGTTCATTAGTTTCCTCATCCGACCTGCATATATTCCTGGGTATCTGTTTTACCCAGAATCCCCACCAAAGATGTGGCATGAGTTGTGAAGCTTTTGTTTGTGTCAGGATGTAATTGTAATAATTTCATAAAGTGTTAATGTTTCTTGTAGTTTGATTTAATATTTTGTATTTTCTATTTGCAGCAGTTGTCTAAAAGACAACATGACCAGCAGGAAGCTATCTGGGAGCTCCTACAGACGGAGCTGTCTTACATCTCACAGATCCGGGTTATAACAGAGGTAAGATATATAGTTGTTATAACACAGACAGATGAAGATATGGTGTCAGGGAGCTATGAATATGATGTGTTTGGACAATATAATGATTGTAAAAAGATGAAATATTAAGACAGGAAAAACTAAAACAGCGCCTAGTTGCATGGATATGTGTGCTATATAAATATCCTATAATAATAAATAATGGTAAGAAGAACAATTTTGGTGTAACATATGTAACATAACAGATGAAATATGTTATAACGTTAGCAGAAGGAAATATACATATACTATAACACTGACAAATTATGTTTCATGAATGTAACATAAGTTGGCAACCATCAGTGCTGTAAAAAGCCTTCTAAAATCTCCTCCCAACACCATGAAATTGGTCTGGTGTCCGTATTTCTCAGATAATTATATGTGATAATTGATCTTATGCAATTTGTGGATTTTCTTTGATAAATACACCCAAAAGTCAATCTTGAAAAATGTGTGTACATATTATCACATATTTTTTAGCAATTTGACCTATGTATGTAAATATTGGCATGTCTGTCCCAAGTTATTATTCTATTTTAAAGTATACAATGGTTCCATATGCTACATGCTGCCTTGAAACTGACATTACAGTTAGGTACATACCCTCAGGTCGTAGTGACACGGCCCAGTGCCTATGCATGAGAGCACGTATGATAAACCATAGTAAATATATCGCCTCACAGAGAGTGGAATGTAGGAGACCTACTTGTGAAGGTTATATATACCTTTTGTCAACAACTTCCATCACAAAATCAGGTTTACAGCTTCAGAGCTGCTGCTTCCATCAAAGTGAATCTATATCCGATACACTTAACACTCCCTACACTTGCCAACCTTTGTATGGCTGTGTGTTAAAGCAGATTTAGTGATGTTGTGTTATGGAGATATCTCATCAGCAGACCTGGGCCAGTAGGGTGGCCTTTTGGATAAAGTGTTTGTTGATTGTGCCAAAAGCATTGGTTTGATTCCTGGTATGGGCTTAGTGTCTGAAGTTTATTTTCTAGTGTCTTGAGCTGTGATACTGCTGGAACATTACTTAAATTTGGGTCAAGCTCACTCATTCATTTAAAGTTGTTATGATCTGTTGTGATAGTTTGAAACGTGTTCTGTTTCAAGTCTGTGATGTTTTTGGAAACTGTTATAAAAGTTCAAATCAAGACTGAAAAATGGCCACCTTTGTGGCCATGTTGAATTTGTCATCACCCAGTTAATGTATCATTATCAAATGTAATAAATGTAGCATACAAAAATAAGATTGCGTATTTGTTTTGTTTATTATCAAATTTCATTTTCTACCCTGATGAGAATTTTCATTTATTCACATATGAATGTTTATGTAGAATTGTAACTATTTCACACTGAAATAATTCTCATTGTTATAAATATTAAACCTCCATAACATCATAGCCTGTATTTTGTCTGACAATTCTCACTATAAAATCTTCAATTTTCAACCAAGGATTTGTTAATAGTCCATAATAAGTTGTGTAAGTAATATCATCTTTCTGTCCACATCTCTTACACATGCATCAAGCTGCAAAACCTCATTCTCTTGAGTGTGATTCATTGTATCAGAATGTGTGTGATATGTTAGCACTGTATTGTTTATTCTTCTATCATAACCTTTTAAGCTAATGCTGCAAAAAGGCACCAAAATATTTGGAGAGCTTTTCTCAATGTGTTGTTTATGTGGAATTTGATTGTAAGTCTCCTCTGTGTTGATTTCAGGTCTTCCAAGCTTGCCTTCTCAATGTCCAGAGTGACTCTCTTCTTAATGAGGTAAGAAACACACCTGTACAAACATCTGTATTTTTTAGAATTTACTGAAAATATTTGTTTCTGAATATTTTCCCGTGATACAGCTATTATAGTTTCAGGTTACGTACCGACAGAAAGAAATAAATGTTTGCTGTGTGTAACTTTGTGTCCAAAGCTATTTACATCAGAGAAGACTTAATATGTGATAGCCTAAAGGTTAAAGCGTTCATTCATCATGCCAAAGGCCTGGGTTTGATTCCCTACATGGGTACAGTGTTTGAAGCTGTTTCTGGTGTTCGTCACCCAGATATTCCAATAATACTGCCAAAAGAGGCATAAAACAATGCTCACTCTTCTTTGTGGCCAGGGTTTGTGGGGTAGCCTGGTGGTTAAAGTGTTCGCTCATCACGCCAAAGACCCGGGTTTGATTCCCCATATGGGGATAATGTGTGAAGCCCATTTCTAATGTCCCCTGCCGTGATATTGCTGGAATATTGCTAAAAGCGGCGTAAAACTGAGCTCACTCACTCTTTGTGGCCAAAGGATGTGATGAAATGTAATTGTAAACGTTAGTTATGACTTGTATACATACGTTACTTTTATTATGTAATTCATCAAAGATGGCGACCAGGCAAATAGATAAATTTGTAAGTTTATCAATATTGTCCATTTATAATACTATGTCTTCCTGACAATTGCCCATGGGACTATTCAGGAAAATCTGTCAACCGAAAATGCAAATGGCTGCTTTTCATAGCAGCTGTTACCATAACTGTTGACATATGAAAGTCAATGACTGACTCTCTGCAGATCGAGACAGAGAAAATGTTCAACAACATCGACGCCCTCCTGGCCGCCAACCGGCAGCTGTGGGAACAGCATCTCCTGAAGGTCCTGGAGGAGTCACGGCGGACCCGACAGCCCTTGAACCCAGCCCTTCTCAAACCTGGCTTCACCAAGGAGGTGAGTAGTAGCCTGGAGTACACTCAAAGTCACAGTACTTATCATGGTCTCAGTATGATATGTATGTTGATAGTGACGTTGTGGTATGTTCTGTATCAGTGAAGTCGTGGTATGTTCTGTATCATAGTGAGGTCATGGTGCATTTTGTAACATAATAGTGAGGTCATGGTTCGATATGTATCATTATAAGTGAGGTCATAGTGAGGCCAACAGATATACCCAATGATGAACAGATATACCCAACTGTGAACAGATATACCCAACTGTGAACAGATATACTCAACTGTGAACATATATACGCATTCATGAACAGACACACTCAACTGTGAACAGATATACCCAATCAGGAACAGATATACCCAATCAGGAACAGATATACTCAACTGTGAACAGACATACCCAATCATGAGCAGACATACTCAACTGTGAAGAGATATACTAAACTGTGAACAGATGCACCAACTCACAGACTGATATACCCAAACACTGATTGATATACCCAATCACAGACTGATACATGTGATCACAGACAGATATATGGTCCTATATTCATCATGTTACTCTGACACAAACCTTGTATGTCAGCTACTCGTTTTGAAGCGTATTCTAATCCCTCACAAATCATTGTATTACTTTCCATTTACGTGACAATAAAATCAATTATCAAAGTTTCTAAAGGTTTACAGAAGATTAATGACGACATTTCTGTGAACGTTCCAATGTAAACAGAGTGCAACCACAGATTTTATCAAAGAGTTTTGAGGATAGCAGTGTTGTATGATAGCATTCATGATATATTACCTTCAACTTCAGTGTAAATTTAATGCGCATTTTGTCATTAAATAATTTTCTTTGATCGTAAGCAAAAACATTTTTCCATCTATGTGACAAGCACTTGGATGGCTTGAGGTGTCGAGTTGTCAGCTCTCTCAGGTCTAATTCATCAACGCCTCTTTAAATACGACCTGTAATTTATGACTGGGTTGGGTGGGGCTGGAATATTCCAGGGAGGGTTGCTGTAAAAAGTGGCATGTTTTTGAGGAACTGGATTGTGATTTGAATGCACAATTAGGTAAAGGTCATGAAAAACATTTTGGGCGTCATGGAATAGACACAAAAGTCACTACTGATGAAAAACAGTATGTCTTATGTGGGGCGTATGTCCTCATATGGTTCTTGTAAGGTGCTTGGAATAGCCTTGTGGGTACAATGTGTGAAGCTGTGATAATTTGAGATATTGCTAAAAGCTGTGAAAATTTTGCTCAGTCGCTCAGTAAGACATGACTGTGTGACTGAGTTTGGTTTTACGCCGCTTTTAGCAATATTTCAGCAATATCACGGCTGGGGACACCAGAAATGGGCTTCACTCATTGTACCCATGTGGGGATTTGAACCCGGGTCTTCGGCGTGACAAGCCAACGCTTTAACCACTAGACTACCCCACCGCCCCCAGTAAGACATGAACACTTTAAAACCTTTAGTGGTCAAAGTTGGTCCAGCCACTGTACAGAGTTGCCTCCCTTAGCTGTATGCTAATTCCATGCATTCATTGGCTGAATCTCAGATTTGTCTAAGCTAGGTTCCTCACTTGCAGAAAACATTGATCACAATGCACTGTGCAGAGTTGCATCCCTTAGACATCATTGATGCTCATGCTGTTGATCACTGGATTGTCTGGTCCAGACACAAGTATTAACAGACTGTAGCTGAAATATTGCTGAGTGCTGCATTAAACAACCAACCAACCAACCTAAGACATCAGAGAAACCAGTGATCATGGGTTCAAATCTCTTGTGGTTTTGGTTTGTCAGCACCAAGTACATGAACATCAGTTCCACCAAGGTGGTAAATGTCCATGAGTTTTGAAAGTTGATGTTAACCCCCAACTCACTCACTAACTCAGCATGGCTCTGGTTTCAGTTCAGCAAGTTGCTACAGCCGTACACCCAGTACTGTATGGAGCAGAAGGCCTGTGTCGACTACATGAAGGCCAAGCACAACGAAAATGACCTCTTTAAAGTTTTTGTCATGGTAAGTATTGTGATGATGATGATGATGATGATGATGATGATGATTGCCCAAACTGTTGATTAAGGTTTCTCATACAAACCCTGAAAAAGAAATATCAGGGAAAAGCCTTCAGTGCCTTGGCAAGCCAAGATATCCTCGTTACCTTTGGACTCCTTACTTTAGATTTCAAATTTAGCATACCCGGCTAGCTATTCTACGTTCGTAGCCATATGAACTTCTTTAGCCCGTTCTTAACACATTGGCTACAATCAAAGTTAAGAATTCTTAGGGCTACGAACGTTTCGAGAAAAAGGGCTCTTTTTTTATTACATTATAAATTACATTTAAAAAATATGGAATAGTGTTTATTTGAAGACTAAATGTAAATCGTAGTTGCCATGTCATATTCCTTGTGTTCCATCTTCGATTATCCAGGGTATATTTTTATTATGGTGAGTTCTGCTAAGGACCGTGGCCAGATCTCCATCTTTCATGTCAGTCGCACAGAAATCCTCCGCACTTGAGTGTAATTTGTATGCTAATTGGACTGCTAATTTTATCTTGTGTCAGTGTAATCAAATTATAATCTCAGGATACATAATGAAACAGTGTGTAGTTGTAAAACCAGGTGCTAACAGCAGGTGAATAATAGCACCACAGATAGTTTGTATTAATGATGAAAATAAAATACTTAAAAATATGGAAGGTTTCTATGGCTTGATAAAATAGATTTCAGTCTGTCAAATAACTCACTTTTACTCAGTTTCTGTGTACACCCAAACTGACAAGTAAATATGTAATGAACTTCACTCATGTGTCTTGTATGAGTGTCTATAGGGAAAGGAAAATGTGTGGTGTACTAATTTTAAAATACATGCTTCACGTTTCACTATAGATCTTTATTTCTGTTTGTAGGTAATTAAAATAGTACAATGAATTTACCTTGAATGTCACACCCCATGTGGAGCCTCATGAATATATGCGTTCATGGTGACACATGTCACAATCTATTACATAAGGTTTGATTGATAGATGGTATGTGAAATACCTGTGTCTGTTGGTTAAACTGCGTCATGTGTTGATTGTTTAACTCAGTTAATCAAAGAGCAGCATTTAGTGTTATTTTTGTTTTTTCATCTATAAAAATCTTTTTGTGATCTAAGACAAAACATCTGATGGAACATCATAACATGAAAACTAAAATTCTTTAAAGTCATTAAATTACTTCATACATTTGAGATTTTACGAGAGCTTCGTTTTAATGTTAGTGGTTTGTGTTATGTTCAATATTTTGCATCAGTGCTTTGTTTGTTAAGCAAAATATCCATTTCATACAAAAAAGAAATCAGTTACTCCAACTGCTATTTGTTGTTTTAGTAACTTGTTAAAAAAGTATTCTGGGGTTGTTGGTAATCATAAATTGCTGTTCTGTAAAGAACTGATTAAAATGCATACCAAGATATGGCATGTCAGTTATTTCTTTGACAACAAAGAAAACAAGTATTTTGATTTGTTTTTCATTTGTGAAATTGGCAAATCTGTGGAGAGACGTTTTAGTTACAGGGGTGGAAATAACCCAAAGTCCAGTGTTTTTCTGTGGCAAGCAAATTTGTATATCACACTGTACCCATGTCCAGTTGATATTCCAATGTTAATTATGTTGTTTATTTATAAAATCAACAAGAAAAAATGGCCGGCATAGTGGAAAAAGTATCAGCGCAAATGATTGTACATGTGCCACTGTACCGGAGTACACTAGCAATTTTAAAGTTATTTCCACCCCTGAGTTATTGTCTGTCTTCCTTGTCTTGAGTCATCATTTGTCTGTGTAGTGGGCGGAGGCACAGAAGAAATGTAACCGACTGAAGCTGACCGACCTGCTGGTCAAGCCCATGCAGAGGCTGACCAAGTACTCCTTGCTACTCCAGGCCATCCTTCGGAAGACCGAAAACGAGCGACAGAGGAGGGATCTGCTTGAGATGGTATGTCTGAATACATCTGTGTATAGTCCATATTCTGCTCTGGAAGATCTCCACCAGTGCCATCACCAACTCTTATGTATCACTCAAAAATATACTGTCCTTACAAAATGGCTGCCATACTGTGCTACACCAATGTGCAGGGATGTACTTGTGTATTTATTGAAATTTCACCATGGTAGGCTTTTCAATAACTTTGAAAGTAGCCTTTTTGCCCTTTGTCACTTGCACATTCCAATGTTATCAGCATCATTTCTTGTTTGACAACTCAGTCAAACATTGGATTCTGTTGAGACGGAAAACCTGTTGATCCAGACCCACTGTTATCAAGAAGAATGTTGTTGGGGAATGTTGCTGTTAAACTCTTAGACTGGGTTTCAGTTGCTCTCACACAGAAAGCTGGTACAATGCATACTGTGGTTTGGTGTGTCAGTTACCATTGGATTAGAAATCCCAGAGCAAACGACTTATTGAGATTGATGCTTTGTAGTTATATATTTATATAAAATATATGCTTTTTTCTACTTCATAGAGTAAATACATACACTTACATACAAATTTATGGAAATTGAAAATGGTGTGAACATCAGTTGAACATACACAGGGCATGTTAAAGACTGGCGAATTATGTGTAATTATTATTATGTGTAAAACTATAATGAAAAGTTTAAAGACATTTTGACATGCAGCATATTTACCCTATTTTGTAGCAGTTTCTATGGATAGAAAGTTATGCACTGAGAAATGCAGCAAGTCTAATGTCAGTATGTTGTGACTAGATTGGCAAGGTGGACGAGTTTGTGACTCACGTCAACACAAGTATGAGGGACCAGGTGGACAAAGAGAGGATGGAAGCCATTGTGACCAAGATTGAACCCTATGATGCAGTGGAAGCTCCTAATGATGAATGTGTGAAGGTGAGCTTCAGTAGGCTTCAATAATATTTACAGATGAAGTTATACATAATATACTGAGAAAAGGTGGGTTTTAAGTCTGGACTCTGGGAGAGAGTTCCAAAGTACAGGTGCAGAGTAAGAGAATGATCGGTGTCCAAAGGATTTCAGTTTGTAGGATGGGATGACCAGTCGATTTAGTGTGTTTGAGCACAAGTTGCATGCGGGGACATACGGATGTAGGAGTTCAGACAAGTAGGAGGGAGCCAAACCATGGAGGCACTTGTATGTCAGACAGAGGATCTTAAAGTCAATTCTGGCCCTAACTGGTAGCCAAAGCAGTTCTTTCAACACCGGTGGTTTATGGGAACGTTTAGAAGTCTTGCAACTTGAATGGACATCAACAATGGATTAAAGACTGCTTAGGATTGCCCAGTTTTGTTTCACTACCTGAGTTGTTAAAATGATGTTTCAACAACAATTTTAAGAAACAAATATAAAATTAATCTTTTTGAAGCATCTATTTTGGTTCTAGTGGTATCTAGTTTGGTTTTCTTGTGTAAAGAAACAAAATATATGATGGTATACATTTATCTGAAAAGATTTCAGGGCACTTGAATGGATTTGTGGTTAATGTGTTCAGTTGACACAGCAACTGCCTATGTTTAATTCCCAACATTGTTTGATACTAGAATCTGTATGTAATTTGGGGCTTTTTAGTAGCCTCAAGGTTAAATCTTTTACCGGGTTTGATTCCCCACATGGGTACAATGTGTGAACCCCACTTCTGGCGTTGTGCCCTGCCGTGATATTGCTGGCATATTACTAAAAGTGGCCTAAAATCATACTCAAATAAATATTCTCAGAAAGAAATGGGTAAGATGTTTATTGAGATGTTGTAAACAATGAATATGTATGTTTCAGTTGGTGCAGAGCTATAACTCCAACTTTGACCTGCGATCTCCAATGCCAGGCTTTAGCGCACAGCACAGTCGAGCATTGTTGATGCACTCCGCCCTCAAGATGAAGGAGGCTCAGGCTAGGGTCAGTACACATGGACTTAGCTCATACTGTAATGTTTCGATGTGTAATATATTCCTTAGTACTACCTGTAGGTCAAGGAGTTATTGTCACTGTATGGTAGTCCAGTGGTTAAGGCGTTCTCTTGTTATTCTGAAGGCCTGGGTTCGAGTGTCCTCATGGGTACAATGTGTGAAGCCCATTTTTGGTGTCCCCGGCCTGGTTTTGCTGGAATATTGCTAAAAGTACAATTATTATTACATTTTCCCCTGCATCATGTCATGCTGATCAAGAAAAGAAAATCATTGAAACAATAAGGGGTAGTTGGCCAGCTTAACGTTTGCCATGACTGTGATTCCACTGATGTATTAAATCAACATGACCTGTGCCCTTCAGATGGACGTGGACTGTTTTCTGTTCACCGATCTACTGTTAGTGTGTAAGGCTAACAAACGGATGGACAAGTTCAAGATCACCAAGCCGCCCATGAGACTAGATCGCATTATTGTACAGGATCTGAAGGACAAAGGTTTGAAAACAGAAAATTATGAGAATAAATCTACTTTCTTGAAATGGATCAAATATTGAGTTTTTATAAGTAACAGGTTTCAATCTTTGTAACCTCTGAATTCAAGAAAGGTTTTAAACCTGTAAATTTGTACATGAGGGTTCTATATTTCAGTTTCAGGGAATAATGCTGATGTTTTAAAGATTTCAATCATTCCTCATGATAATTTACAACCTGATTATCAAGGATTCTGCTAAAATATGAAAATACACATAAAAATTGTTTTTGCTAACATAAAGGAAGGTATAAAGGAAACTGTAAGGGAGGGCATAAATCGGTGCTTCCATGTTTCTAAGGTCAAGGTCATTGTTACAGGGAGTTTCCTGCTCATCTATCTGAATGAGTACCACACCCCCATCTCAGCCTTCACCTTCCATGGAGATCAGACAGGGGTCAAGGTCTGGTTGGACCACATCAAACGAGCTCAGGTCAGTACAGACACTCTATGGGGATAATAGGCGAGACTTCCACCAATCCTGGATATGGAGAGGTGGTCATTGAGTAAGGCCAAGCAAAAATGTCAGCGCGAAAAGCATGCTAGCGTTACTCCTTTTGATCCTGTGACAAATGGGATCGTGTTTTCAGACTTGCTGACTTGCTTGACACATGTCGTTGTATCCCAATTTCGTAGAATGATGCTCATGATGTAGATCACTGGATTGTCTGGTCCAGACAGACCGTCATATAGCTGGAATAGTGAGGCATTAAACAACAAACCAACCGACCCTTTTATCCCATCGATTATTGCAAAAGTTTTTAACTACTGCACATTGGATGACAAAATTTGCAGGTTCAACCTTCTTCATTTGTGTAAATTAGTAAGGCAAAGTATTATTTTGTTCAATATCTGAAACTGATGCTGATAATTGTGTTTTTCAGGAAAAGTATTCTGAGACACTTATGAAGGATCAGCAGTCTGCCGTATCCAAGGTCGGCCAGGTCAAAGAGGAGGTCAGTTACACACCTCTCAGCCCTCTCCCAAAACCCGATCTCATCTCAATGGAGCGCAGCGGCAGTATAGAGTCTGCCGAGGGCAAATTTGTCCCCAACCTCACCACACAAAACTATGCATCACCATCATCGCCAAAGAAGCCAAATGGTATCTCACCACACGTCAGCTTACAGGACGTCGGAAGGGCAGGGTCTCTGGGTACGATTGTTAACCACACTAGTCCAAAGTCAAGCGAGTTAGCCACGTCCTCCTCCCCGACACATCGCCAGTCACAAAGAAGAAGCACAGGCCGGTGTCGTCTTGTCTCTCCGTGCCCAACATCATGGATGGGCACCAAGACCTACAGACTTCTCCCTCACTTAACTCTCTTACGCGGGACGATTCAAATCTCGACGATCTTAAGGAAGAAGACAGCAAAGAGAAACGGAATGCTCGAAGGGTTTCGAGAAACGAGAGAAACGTTACTACACAGTAGATTCTGTTCAGGAGCTTCAGAAGAACAAAGATCGGGATAATAGTATACATAAAAGACTTTCCTGGAACTTAGGGTCGAAGGAACTAGGGTGTAAAGACTTGCGTCTGGAAGAGCGGATCCTTCACGATCAGCTCCACACGTCAGATTCTCTACGGAGCATTCCCAGCTCCAGTGGTTTTAGTTCATCCGGGTCGTTACATTTGAACCCAGAAAGTGAGATTAGTGAGGAGACATATATTCATACGAGTGATCATGACGTGTCCATGTTGAGTATAGAGCGGGATGACATGCCTGCGGAACTTACACCAGAGACCAAAAACTTCAAGTCAAAGTCGACGTCTGACATTATGGCGCTAATGCAGGATCTGAAGACAAGTGACCAGGAAGGAGGGATTACATCTGTGGAACTACCTATGGTGGACAGCAGCAAGAAGAAGCTGTCACATGCTCAGATACTCAGGATGAAGAAAATGCACCTACTTCTTAACTCTAATGTTGAGGCATCGTAAGTATAATCATGTCTTTATTCCAACGTTGAGGCAATGTAAGTATAATTATATCTTAACTCACGATATGATTACACATACGATGTCTCATCTTCTAACTCCAACATTGAGGCATCGTAAGTGTGATCTTGTCTTACTCCCATGTCGATGCATCATAAATCTTATTAGTATGATTATATATTATTAGTTCTGGTATAGAGATCTTGAGTCATAAGTAATGTCACAAGTAATGTACTTCCTCATACATCGATGTTCAATATGTACAGATTCTTACCTCCTTTTGGCCCCTTTGCTCTTTTTCCAGTCATAATCTTTACTCGTAAGACCATTTGTAATTTTCAATCAAGTCTTTTCAACTCCAATCAGCTTCTTGCCTCCAGTGTATTTGTGTATTATTTATATATTATATATTCTTAACTGCCATATATTTATTTTGTATATTGTAAGTCCCATCATGGTATTCATTCTGCATTTGAGATGACTTAAGTCGAGTCCTAAGGCCTCCAAAGTTGAGACATTGTTAGAAACTCATGCTGTTACATGCAGTGTTAATCACATTACAGTTAAGTATATTGTTATATGATCATGCTCTCATCGTCACCCTGTTTGTTTTCAGGGAGGTATAGCAGTCCGAGGTAGACCCTGTACATAGACATATACATAGCCAGAAACATTGTACATATGTATATATATCCTGTATACAGAACTAGAGAAAGTGCTCAGTGTATAACATAGCATGTCGCACGTGGGACATGGTTATACGAGAAGGTGATACGCTTAAGGTCAAGGACACAGCAGTGGTACAAACAGTGGTACAAACAGCTGATGAATACTGCACACCACCAGTATCAGTACTGATGAATGATACTGGAAAGCCCAGTATTAAGTGAGAGTAACAAGCAATTCACTTCTCCACAGTCGCTATATCTCCTGTTGTATTAATAATCCGGAATTTATGAAATACCTGGGAGAAACCAGTGACAGCTGGAATGAATTCTGGATAATGCTGAAAATGGCTAGTGATTACTGGATTAAACCGGTATGAGCTGGAATGAATTCTGGATTATGCTGATAATAGCTAGAGTGGTTACTGGATTAAACCGGTATGAGCTGGAATGAATACTGGATTACACCTGTACTGGCTAGAATGAAAGCTATATTGTACTGGCAGTGGCAGGAATGTTGTGATTCCAGAATCCTTGAGAATATGATCTCAAGACATCTACACCAAAATGAACAGAGAGGGCAGATCTGAAGGGCATTACTCTGGTGCAAAGGATTGTTAATCCAGAAATGTGTTTTCAGGGAGACATTACAATCCTGATTAATTGGGTGCTCTGTACAGTGTACTGGGTCGCTAAAGTGCCACATTAGGAGCAGTTAGAACTGTGAATCAGAATTCAAGATGGATGCTTAGCTAACAGAGAAGTGACAGTGATTGTAAAGTGAAGCGGATTGACAGATTAAAATAGATTGCTTTTGTTCCTTGCCAGAAGATTGCCAGAATGGACTTCAAATTATGGAGTGTGATTACTTTATTTCGACAGCCTGTATAGTTTGGGCTCCATTGTTGGATGTGCCGTGACTGTTTTTCAGATGATACCTGGAATGAGAGGACAAGCCATACAAAAAGATTAATATTGTTTGAATAAGCACCTGATCAGTAGGATAATTGGTGTGTTGCCTTATGTAATAGACAGATGATGAGAGGCAGTACTTTATTAGGATATGAAGGTCCAGTTGCTTTAACAAATATATTTAACAAATGAGAATAATCAGATATATTATCTGCTGAAAGATTCCATTGGGTCTGAAAGGCAAAATGGCTGTGAAAATCAGTGACGACCCCAGATGTTTGGAAACTGGGTCTTGCTCTTGCTGGAACAAGTGTCACTCTCACAAATAGCTTAACTAGGTCTTGCGTACCCTAGTGGTTAAGGAGTGGCTCGTCACACAAAAGACCGGGTTTGATTCCCCACATTGGTACAATGTGTGAAGCCTATTTCTGGTGTTCTACGCTGTGATATTAAACTCACTCAGTTGTCTAATGCTGCAACACAGCGGAAAACTGCATTGTGAGGTCAGTCTGAAATAAAGCTGATTGCTATTGGTCTCCCATTTATCCCTATAGAGTACTGTCAGGACTCCTCTGCCTGGGTTAAAGCACAGCCAAACATTTCCATCAGAACACATCTGTGTATAGTGAACAGTTCGAGCAAACCACCCACGGCCCAGGCATCTGGGTACATGCAGCTGTTGTATGAATTGTATTCCATTGTTGTACTCCACGATACAAATGCCCTTTGGATCACCGCCTCCCGCTGTTCTTTGATGGAGGATGCTGCAACGATTGCCCTACCAGTGTTGCCTCGCCTCTATGAAGATGTGGCAAATACTATAGTCCAAGATATGGGAACAATTTTTTGTTCACCCAAGAGTCCATACATGTTAATTCTTGTTTCAGAGATAAAAAGAACTGAATGTTCCAAAAATCTGATGGTCCAATTTTACACTAGATGGCACTGTGGTCATGATGCAATACTTCTTATCAATATGTCAGTGTCATCTTTCTTTCTGATAATATCTCATTACAGACGTTTGCCATAAAACATCAAAAACATGATCAGTATTGACACTTTTTGTTCATTTCCCTTACTTCATATTAACTGAAATAAAAACACTTTGTACAGAATATATTTTCTGCAATAGAAATGTGCTGGAAATTCACAGAATCATTTTTCACCGTTCCGTTAAAAGTAATCACAAGGTTAGAACAAAACTAAAGATCACCTCATATTTTAAATGAATAGACAAGGGAGAAAACTCTTGTCATTTTGATCATCAGATTTTTTATCAAACAGTTTTGAAATATTTAGCTTTTGTCTTTGAACAAGCATTAACTTGTATGAACTTTTCTTAAGAATAAATTGCTCCCATTTCTTGGTTCCAATGTCCTCAATACACAACCCAGCCACTACAATGCAATGAAGCCCTGATCAAAACAACGACACAAGGATTTTCGTAGCTGTTCATGTTGTAACATCTGTTGGTTGTACATGTGGAATAGGACATCAACATTCTAACATTAGGACCACATTACATAGGACATATAGGGATGTATTAGACCAACTGATACATAGGACTAGGACATTACTTTGGACTAGGACATATAGGGACGTATTAGACCAGCCGGTACATAGGACTAGGACATATAGGGACGTATCAGACCAGCCGATACATAGGACTAGGACATATAGGGACGTATCAGACCAGCCGGTACATAGGACTAGGACATATAGGGACGTATTAGACCATACATAGGACTAGGACATATAGGGACGATAGGGACATACATCAGGACTAGGACATATCAGACCACCGATACATAGGACTAGGACATATAGGGACGTATTAGACCAGCCGATACATAGGACTAGGACATTAGACTAGGACATATAGACCAATAGGACTAGGACATATAGGGATTATCAGACCAGCCGATACATAGGATTAGGACATAGGATTAGGACCAGCCGATTAGGACATTACTTTGGACTAGGACATATAGGACATATTAGACCAGCAGATACATAGGACTAGGACATTACTTTGGACCAACCAATACATGTTAGAAGCAGTTGATGTTTAAACATATATTTTTGGGGGTGGTCTACATTGTGGTATATATTTTCAGGGGTCTAAATTGTGGTAAACTGTTAGAATGATATTTGTTAAATAAACCGACTTCTCTTCTACGATGTAGGTTCATGTGTAGCATCTGATGTGCTAATACTAGATAACATCCATTCTTATACTGCTGAAAATATTTGATAACAATTTAGTTTTACTTTCGATACTATGTTGTGAATGTGTCCGTGTAAAAGGAGCATAAAACCATTCTCACTCTGTTACCAAGGCATTGTGACTTTCAAGATGATCTTCCTTGGTTCACAGTACTAATACAGTTTAATGCCATTATGTTGTACTTTGATGTGTTCAATACAGTCGAAAATTGAAACTGGCACTGCATATTCCGTTTTTAGTCATTTTGAGACTGTTGAACTTTGGATAACTCGAATGATTTACATAGGTCCTTTCTTCTGTGACATACGATATTTGTTTGTATGTTTAGCGAGAAGGAATTTGTGTTGGTAGAAGTACTAGCTAATGTATACTACACACAAGAAGTTACAGAATACAAGATTCTTGGATATTACGATAGTTAACCTGCAATTCTAACTTTGGTAATATACTACCCATCAAAAGTTTAGACTCACTATATGTTATGTATATATATATACAATGTATATAGTTACACCAAAGATGAATTTCTCCACGAACTTGGGGGAAACCAACTCCAAACCAGATGAATTATGTATCAAATTGCTGAAAAGCATGTGCAAATATCGTGCATGTTAACAGCTGCATAATTGGTGTAATCTTTTGTTAACAAGTCACCAATTTTCACCGAGTTTCATCATTTATTGAAATCATGACAATAATCTTTTCAACGTTTTGAATATGTTCATATGTAAACCGTATGTAATATTTTTGCAAAATCTAGTTTAGAACAGTTGCCTGAAGTAAGTGGCTGCATTTACACTAGTATGTCTAAACTTTTGATGGGTAGTATATGAACAACTTCAGTAGTATACATTGTTGGTTTACACTTAGAGCCAGTGTGAAAAGCACCAAAGTCTGAGTATCGGATTTGTTAAAACATAACTGTTAAAATAATGGCTTTACTTTACATGTAAAATCTGTCTGAAGAAGTAACATGACTACAAGTTTCCACAGCATCTGTTTTAGATATATACCCAGTCTTGCCAATACTGATTTGTATTCAAATTCTAACTTAGAAATTCTGAGCTTGAGTTCTAAGTCTGCAGTATATACTACAAATCTTCGTTTTTTGAATGGATCATTGCATGGTCATTATTTTCATCATTGTCAAACCGAAAAAGCATTTTTAGAAATATACAAGGTGAAAGCAATATTTTTTTATATTTCATTGGCATATTCTGTGACATGAAGAAATGTTTTGTCATTATTGGGGTTTTGCGAGTAGGATAGTGTGAGCATCTCAGCCTGTTTCAAAAAGATTGTGCTATGATATCATAACTCCTTACAATAGGGTTGAAAGAGTAATAGCGGAGAGATTTTTTGAAACTGTGCCTGGAAGCCAAGGATATGCCGAGCAACCAATTATTGCAATATCAACATTAATAACTAAGTTTATATAGTATACATGTGATAATATTTTTATAGGCCACTTCCCAAAAAAATTGTACCATTTTTACTGCCATTAATTTATGGAGCATGGTAACTTGAAGAAAACTGAACCAAAAATATTGCCTGTTGATCTAGAACATAAATCAGTATTTGCAATATATTCATTGGTATATGCTTAATTAAGATAAAAATAACACTTACATTAGCATGTGAAAGTAAAATGATCCATAGAATCATCTCCGAGCTATTAAAATGATAATGTTTAGTGAAACATTGTCAGGGGTTATTCTGTGTTGTAAGCACTGGTGTTAGAAGTAACTCGTCAATCTGGTATTGTGTGGTCCGAGATGTGGTAGATGGTGTTCATGGTCTTGGGGATGTTGCAAGTTGTTGGCGTGTTGAGACTGAAACATTACTGTATTGTCCGCTGTCCCTACCATGAACCATGTGATATTCAAACCTCTGTATTTATATATATATAAATATATATACATATACTAGTATCCCAAGAAAAAATGTTAGTAAATAAAATATGAAATCTCAAAAGTTTCTTTGTCGTTGCTGAAGCTTTAACACCAGGATGCAAGGGGCATAACTCTTACCATAATGATGGAAGGGATGTAACTCTTAGCATGAGGATGCAAGGAATAGTTTTGAGCATTGAGGACACCAAAAGGATTCAGCAGACCCAAAATGTATACAACATATCTTCAGACAAGGGAGATAACTGACATTGCCACTTGTGTTACCCTGCCTGGCACTCAGCACTGAGGGCTTGTTTGCTTGTTAAACTCCACACTCAGCTGTCTGTAAATAATCGAGTCTGGACCAGACAATCCAGTGATCAACAGCATGATCAACGATCTATGTAATGGGGATATGATGACATGTGTCAACCAAGTCGGCGAGCCTGACCGTCTGATCGTGCCACATCTTGCCACAAGCATAGGATGCCAACTGAGATCTTCGGCACTGGGGGGCTAAAACAAGGATCATTTCCCAACAAGAAACACTGAACTGAAATGGTGCAATAATCTTGAATACAATACTGAAGCCCTCCAAAAGCTTGACATGCATATCTGGGGCTTGAATGTGTGTGTTAGAAATGTCCATTTAACACTGTTTAGTAAACATGTATTATCATCGGGTGATCTTATGGGTGAGTATTAGAACTGGAGTGCAGCCTTAAAGAACAAACAACACAACAAATACAAACAGAAGTGTGTATATAAAAATTATTATATTATAACAGACCCAGTAATTACAACAAAACTGTATCAAAAGTTGATAAACTTGTGATAATGCAGTCTGTATACTGTACCGATTTAAGAAGTCTTGGTAAGCTAACTGTTGTTCTGGACACACTGTAACCAAAAATATTCATAAATATTCCATATTCAATCTGATTACAAGGTACATTAAAGGTTAAATGCTGTCGAGATATTCCTCGCAAGTCCGACGCCTAACCTGATGAGCGGTGGCTGAGCGGGTTTGGTGCCTGACTCTAAGGATGTGGGTTTGAATCCCGGACAGGCATCAACCAACAGAAGTTCTAGAATCTACTTCACTAAGAAAGCGTAATCCCAAATATAACATGTTACTTATTATATTCTGAATTCCCTTGGGGTTATCACCTTGGAAATGAATCTGACCTTCAATATCACTTGCAAGTATTCCAAATGCACAAAACCTATACTATGATGTCCCTTGGTCTTGGTCAGTGTTAGAAGCAAAAAACAGTATATGCTATTCATTGAAAGTAATTCACAAAGACCTCCCACTGACATCGTAAGATCACCAAACACAAGTGTCTATATGATAACATGTTATTTCACCGAGTAGAATATTACTTTTGCCTGGAACTACTTTCTGCTCAAGGGCTGGACTGTAGTTTGGTTGTGTAATAAAATGCAGACTTACTCGATGTCTCGATCATTTATAAACAAGGATCAAAATATAATAAATGGAATATTTTATTAATGTTGTCAAATACTGCGTATTATCGCATGTGTCATGAGAGAATTAGACACATATATTTTCCAATGATGTCCCTCTGGTCATTTTCTATGATAGGTATTTCTAAATCAGGTTTGTCTGCATTTGACTGCCCTAGATCAATCAAGAAGTGCATATATTTTTATATGCACTATCCTTTTACCGAAATGTCTTTTCGCTTCAGACATTTTTATATCCATTACATAAAATGGATATATTCTACTCAGTGAAAATACCATTTTTACCAATATTTACAGTATTTCACCCTTAAGAATATAATAAATGTGTCTAATTCACTCATGATAGATGACATAATAATGCTATGACATCAAAATCACTTCTTCAGACAATTGAAACAATCACTTTGTGATCACTCCATCACAGAATTTTTACCAGGAATCAATAGCACTTGGAAGTAGAACTGTACAAAGATAGCACTTTTATACTTCATAAACACAGCAGTTTTCTTCACAATGGTAATTATGACAACAACTAAATTGTAATTCATATACAGTTAAAAAATTCACACAATGTTAAATTATATGTAGATATAGGTAAGTAAAGAGGTGATGTTCACTTCTGTACAGCAGCACATCTATCTAGATATTCACAACATAATCGAACGAGGTGTTCCTACAAATTTTCAGATCAATCTTCAGGTAAAAGTCTTCCTTCTGCTTTATATTTTTCTTTGGTCTTACAGAGATGCCAACCCCAAAGTGTTGCAAATAGTAGTTTCCAAGATCAAAATTAGTAGTTTGACCATAAAATTAGTAGTCATCTAAATACTTAAAATCATGATGGATTCTGAGAAAGATGATATGACACTTATCAAGAGTGAAGCTTTAATTTCACATGCCTCCAACAGCAGATTTCCAAATTATCAGCATTACATTTCTTCTTGTCTCTTTTTGGCGAAAATGTATGTTTTTGTCTATATATCCGAATTTTAATGAGTTTTCTTCAAATTTTGTAGAATTTCTAGTGCAGTCGTTATTAGTAGTCTGAGGCTAAAATTAAGTGAGCGACTACTGAATAAATCGTAGAGATTTGGCATCTCTGGTCTTATGTTTATTTAAAATATATTTTGTTTTGGTTGGTTGGTTTGTTGTATAACGCCACACTCAACAATACACCAGGGCCCGTTCCTCACAGCAATCGTAGGCTTCACGACAGTCGTAAGTCTATGTTAAAGTATGGGAGTTCACGATCATCGTAGCTCTCGATGACGCTTTGAGGAATGGGACCCAGCTATATGGCAGCTGTCTGTAAATAACTGAGTGTGGACCAGACAATCCAGTGATCAACAACATGTGCATTATTATATTTGTGAATACATATACACAAATTCTGAAGTTATGCATAGCCTATAATTACACCCTGAAGTGCCTTAAAATACAAAAGATCTTGTGGGCATGAAGGAGTTTTCGATCAAAACAAACATATTGACTGTTTTATGTACATTAACACTTATGCACCTGAAGAAATAACACATATCAGTTCAAACAATGAGGTATACACATACTGTATTCGCCACATTAGATAAAGAGAAAGTAGAGGGGCACTTAAAATTGTATGAACACTATGAGCAAGTTGAATTATTGCTGGAGACCAAGCAGTAGATTTGGTTTAGATGTTGCTAAAACCCAATAGTAAGAGACAGTATAAGAAAAGAAAGATTTATGGATGTCAACTTCTTTATTATGAATAACACGACGTTTCGGAGTGTATGCTTGCTCCGTCACCATTCACCTGATGACGGATAAAGCATACACTCAGAAACGTCGTGTTATTCATAATAAAGAAATTGACATCCATAAATCTTTCTTTTCTTCTGCATTCCACTTCTAGATGCCCTTCAAAGATTTAAGAGATAGAAGGAAGTTATATACTCCTATCCCAGTGTCTTCGGAGATGTAATGTACACAAACTAAAATGGACTAAGATTTACACGTTTGAACTTTGTAAAAGGGCTCTGAAGAGATTGCATACAGTGAGTAAGAATTTGCCTCACTTTTAGCAATATTACAGCAATATCGTGACGGGACACCAGAAATGGACTTGGCACATTGCATCCATGTGGGGAATCAAGCCCGGGTCTTCGGCTTGACAAGAAAAGCCTGATCCAGTTAGGTCTTAGACATATACGGTAGCAGATTTTGTGAAACCCACAAACAGGAATGATGCTGACATACCTAGACTGACTGACTGAGTTTGGGTTTTACGCCGCTTTTAGCAATATTCCAGCAACATCACGGCCGGGGGACACCAGAAATTGGCTTCACACAATGTACCCATGTGGGGATTCAAACCGGGGCTTCAGCGTGACGAGCCAACGCTTTAACCACTAGGCTACCCCACAGCCCCGACATACCTAGAAGCATGACTGGGTCTAACTGGGATTGGAATCTATGTTGAAAGTTTTTTTGCGTACCAAAGGGACATAACTCTGTAAAGAGACCTGCAGCGCCTGAGCCAAGTGAGCAATGTCAGTCATATATGCACTTCATTGTGAGAGCAAGGGTTACAAGCAGGGTGAATTTCACATTCAAACATTGACATATGTAACAGCTGCAATTGTGGATATAGATACTGCAAGCTCTCAGACCACTGGATGCCCCAAAACCATCTGTAGTCACACAGTCATTCTGACCATTCATTCGACAACTAGATACCAATGCCAAGTGTTGCAAGAGAAGTTGAGTGAGTTAGTTAGTTAGTTTTTACGCTTTTAGCAATATATACTATCACTGTACCCTATGTCTTAGTACCATACAAAAGATACTTTTGTATAGTGCTAAGTGAGTATGGTTTAATGCTGCTTTTAGCAATATTCCAGAAATATCATGCCAGCGGACACCAGAAATGGGCTTCACACATTTGTACCCATGTTGGGAATCAAACCCGGGTCTTCAGCGCGAAGAGAAAATGCTTCAACCACTAGGCTACCCCACTGCCCCTTTTGCCAGAGCCTATCCATGTAAGTGGTCTTGGGTCCATAAACCATCACAAACAAAGCTATAAAACATTAGGCCAAAGGTATATTTAAAACTGAATTAAATTAGATAAAACATGAACACAAGACAACATCTAGATTTGATACTGAAGCATCATCCAAAATACAATGCACCAAAACATAACATTTAATATCACTGGCCTCAAACTAAGATGGTTTCATTACATTAAAAAAATAAAAATACACCAACAAAAGCTGCTCCAGATAAGCTTTTTGCATAAAATATGCATAATAATTAACCATAACAATTAATTTTAGTTGTTTACATACAAATATGTAATAAACTTGTTTTACTTTTCATTCCATCCCATTTCAGTACCAAACATCCAGCCTCAATATTGTCTCCTGATAAAACATTACGACTTAGTGAGTGAGTTTAGTTTTACGCCTCTTTTAGCAATATTCCAGCAATATCACAGCAGTGGACACAAGAAATGGGCTTCACATTGTACCTATGCGGGAATCGAACCTGGGTCTTCATGAAGAGCAAGCGCTTTAACCACTAGGCTACCCCACCACCCATAACAACTTAAGTAATGAATGCACATACTTCACATTTGCTCCAGGCATACTCGGGAAAAGCTATTGATACTTATGGGTCAAATGTCAGGTCAGGTATCAGGTCAGATCAAATCAGATTACTTCAGGTCATGTCAAGTAGCACATTGATAGAGCAAGGGAAACAGGTTTTACTCGTGTTTTGTTTCCTGGAGTTAATTAAAGCAGCCTCAATGGGCAATTGAGCAACAAAACAATGAACTCATTATAAAACTCCTCTATTTCACCCATGGTGCAAAAGTTGAAGTTATCTCCATGGATATACAACTTATTTTTTCATACGGTTGCCTGATAACAGTGTTAACGCATTATAAGAAAGCTGTACGTCCATAGAATAATCTCCCCTGTTCTGTATACATACTTTTGAATGCCTAACTCAAACTTTGTAAATAATAAAGCCATGTCACAAAAACACACCACTCATGAATTCAATTCAATATTTATGATCACCGGAAGAGAATCTTCATTAATTTTTTTAAAAGGAGTATTTTTACTAGAATTACTGTAAACGTATTATATTTCGTGCAGGTTTTATTTTCGCGCTTTTCGCGCAAAACATTTTAGCGCGAAAATTTATACACCGCGAGTAACACTCTTCCGTGAGTAAACGGATTACTGTGTACTAGTATATCGCACAGATAGGGATTTCCTGTGAGTAAGCAATAAACGCCGCCTGACAGGTTAAGCCACTCTGTTTGTTTTCACTGCTATTAGTGGCGGCCAAAGAGACAGCTGGCAGTTCCGGCAATTACTGATTGCGCGAATAATTGACCGCGCGATATAGTCTAAACTGTCAATTCTGCGAAAATTGCACCACACGAAAATAAGTACGTTTACAGTAGTTCCCTAATTATGAAAGCGAGATATACAAAATAGCAGGTATCCAAGCCAGACAGGATGATAGTCAACACATTTGACAGAAATGTGGTCACTGTTAAATATAAATACTGTCAACATGATTAAAACATGTCCAAAGTATATTTTGTTCCTGTTTCACTGAATGTAATAAATAATTCTTCAGTTGCTGATAGGGCTACAAGGAAGACACTATGTGGCCAATATGATACGTATCATGAATATTGGGCAACGAATACGAATAATTATTCACGAATTCAATATTGTAGTTAAGTGATTGATGTACAATATGGAACGCCCATGTTGACAGTGTTAATTTGTCACAGCAATAACCAGTGATCTCATGACACTCAAATTTGGTATGTAATAGTTGGCAAACTAACATGACTTGCGCTACTGCAATGCTAGTACATGTTCCATTCTTGCATATCTCACTTTGGAAAAGGACATACGGGTTCAAGTAAAACATGCTCCCTTAAAAAAATCGTAAATATTCGTTAATATTCGGTTTTGGTGACCACAAATAATGAATTGAATTCATGAAGGGCTACGGTTCGATTCATCGAATATGCGAGTGAATCGTTACAGCCTTAGTTGCTGACTTGTTACTGTATTTGCTACCCAACATTCACGATATCTATCATATTCCCCTCGAACAGAGCGAGTTTAAGTTAGACAGAATCAGTAAATATACATAATCACTGAAAAATCATTAACTATACTTATTATGCTTTAACATATACACCAAATTGTTAATGTAAAAAAGCGGCGTAATCAAACAAATTTGGTTTTGTTTGAAAAATGGATACAAACCAACCCACCCTCCAAATCTGTAACAGGATACATGGATACACTCCCACCTCTCCTTCCGTCCCTGTTACAGGGCACATGGATACACTCCACCCCTTCCTCTGGTACATGTGGGGCACATATGGATACGTCCTCCAGGGGCACATGGATACCCTTTCCTTCCTCCCTGTAATGGGGCACATTGGATACACTCCCACCCCCTTTCCTCCCTCAGGATACATGGATACCTCCCTGTAACAGGGCACATGGATACACTCCCACCCCCTTCCTCTGTCCCTGTAACAGGATACATGGATACACTCCCACCTCCTTCCTCCGTCCCTGTAACAGGATACATGGATACACTCCCACCCCTTCCTCCGTCCATGTAACAGGATACATGGATACACTCCCACTTCCTTCCTCCGTCCCTGTAACAGGGCACATGGATACACTCCCCACCCCTTCCTCGTTCAAGTTACGAAACATCACTTCCAGGGCTTGTTGACTGACGTATTTGTGATGTGGTGTGCCAAAACATACTTGAAATTATTATTATGTGTAAACTATAATGAAGCGCTTAAAGACATTTTGACATACAGCACATTTATCCTATTTTGTAGCAGTTTCTATGGATGAGGAAAGTTATGCAATTGGAGAAATGCAGCGAAGCCCATCGTCAGTATGTTGTGACCCCTAGATTGGGTAAGATTGGATCTAGTTTGTGACTCACAACACAAGCATGTAGGGACCAGGTGGACAAAGAGAGGATGGAAGCCATTGTGACCAAGAGATTGAACCTTACGATGCAGTGGAAGCTCCTAATGATGAATGTGTGAAGGTGAGCTTCAGTAGGCTTCAATAATAATAATAATAATAAATGCAGATTTATAATGCGCTCCTTCCACACCCTGAGGCATGCTCAAAGCGCTACAGAATATTTGCACTGGAGTATTTACAGATGAAGTTATACATAATATACTGAGAAAAGGTGGGTTTTAAGTCTGGACTCTGGGAGAGAGTCTCAAAGCATGCAAGTTAGAGTAAAAGAAGGAATGATCCGGTGTCCAAAGGATTTCAGCTTGCAGGATGGGGATGACCAGTCGATTTAGTGTGTTTGAGCACAAGTTGCATCGCGAGGGGACATACGGATGTAGGAGTTCTAGACAGTAGGGAGGGAGCCAAACCATGGAGGCAACTTGTATGTCAGACAGAGGATCTTAAAGTCAATTCTGGCCCTAACTGGTAGCCAAAAGCAGTTCTTTCCAACACCCGATTGGTTTATGGGAAGCGTTTAGAAGTCTTGCAACTTGAATGGACATCAACAATGGATTAAAGACTGCTTAGGATTGCCCAGTTTTGTTTCACTACCTGAGTTGTTAAAATGATGTTTCAACAAAGATTTTAGAAACAAATATAAAATTAATCCTTTTGAGCATCTATTTTGGTTCTAGTGGTATCTTGTTTGGTTTCTTGTGTAAAAGAAACAAAATACATGATGGTATACATTTATCTGAAAAAAGATTTCAGGGCATTTGAAATGGATTTGTGGTCAATGTGTTCAGTTGACACAGCAACTGCCTATGTTTGATTCCCAACATTGTTTGATATAGAATCTGTATGTAATTTAGGGCTTTTAGTAGCCTCAGCTGTAAAATCTTTACCGAGGTTTGATTCCCCACATGGGGTACAATGGTGTGAACCCCAGGCGTTGTCCCCTGCCGTGATATTGCTGGCATATTACTAAAAGAGTGGCTTAAAAATCATACTCAAATAAATATTCTCAAAAAAGAAATGGGTAAGATATTTATTGAGATATTTGTAAACAATGAATATGTATGTTTCCAGTTGGTGCAGAGCTATAACTCCAACGTTTGACCTGCATCTCCAATGCCAGGCTTTAAGCGCATAGCACAGTCGAGCATTGTTGATGCACTCCAGCCCTCAAGATGAAGGAGGCTCAGGCTAGGGTCAGTACACATGGACTTAGCTCATACTGTAATGTTTCATGTGTAATATATTCCTTACACTACTACCTGTAGGTCAAGGAGTTATTGTCACTGTATGGTAGTCCAGTGGTTAAAGCGCTCACTTGTTATTCTGAAGGCCGGGTTCGATTGTCTCATGGGTACAATGTGTGTGAAGCCCATTTTTGGTGTCCCCTGCCTAGTTTTGCTGGAATATTTGCTCAAAAGTACTATTATTATGACATTTTCCCTGCATCATGGCATTGATGAAGAGAAGAAAATCATTGAAACTATAAAAAGGGTAGTTGGACAGCTTAATGTTTGCCATGACTGTGATTAAGACTGATGTAATCAACATATGACCTGTGCCCTTCAGATGGATCGTGGACTGTTTTCTGTTCACCCGATCTACTGTTAGTGTATAAGAGCTAACAAGCGGATGGACAAGTTCAAGATCACCAAGCAGCCCATGAGACTAGATCGCATTATTGTACAGGATCTGAAGGACAAAAGGTTTGAAAACAGAAATTATGAGAATAAATCTACTTTCTTGAAACTTTAAATGGATCAAATATTGAGTTTTTTATGAGTAACAGGGTTCAATCTTTTGTAACCTCTGAATTCAAAAGGTTTTAAACCTGTAAATTTGTACATAAGGGTTCTATAGTTCAGTTTCAGGAAATAATGCAGATTTTTTTAAGATTTCAATCATTCCTCATGATAATTTACAACCTGACTATCAAGGATTCTGCTAAAATATACAAATTGTTCTTGCTAACATAAAGGAAGGTATAAAGGAAACTGTAAGGGAGGGCATAAATCAGTGCGTTCATGTTTCTAAGGGTCAAGGTCATTGTTACAGGCAGTTTCCTGCTTATCTATCTGAATGAGTACCACACGCCCATCTCAGCCTTCACCTTCCATGGAGATCAGACAGGGGTCAAGGTCTGGTTGGACCACATCAAACGAGCTCAGGTCAGTACAGACAGATTACTCCATGGGGATAATAGGCGAGACTTCCAACAATCCTGGATATGGAGAGGTGGTCATTGAGTAAGGCCAAGCAAAAATGTCAGCGCGAAAAACCTGCTAGCGTTACTCCTTTTGATCCTGTGTTCAGACTCGCTGACTTGGTTGACACATGTCGTTGTATCCCAATTTCGTAGAATGATGCTCATGATTAAGATCACTGGATTGTCTGGTCCAGACAGACCACTGTAATATAGCTGGAATAGTTAGGCATTAAACAACAAACCAACCGACCCTTTTATCCCATCGATTATTGCAAAAGTTTAACTACTGCACATTGGATAACAAAATTTGCAGGTTCAACCTTATTCATTTGTGTAAATTAGGAAGGCAAAGTATTATTTTTGTTCAATATCTGAAACTGATGCTGATAATTGTGTTTTTCAGGAAAAGTATTCTTGAGACACTTATGAAAGGATCAGCAGGTCTGCTGTATCCAAAGGTCGGGCCAGGTCAAAGAGGAGGTCAGTTACACACCTCTCAGCCCTCTCCCAAAACCTGATCTCATCTCACAGGCCTTTGCTGCAGTATAGAAGTCTGCGGGAGGGCAAATTTGTCTAACCCTCACCACACAAAAACTATGCATCACCATCATCGCCAAAGAAGCTAAAGCGGTATCTCACCACCGCGTCAGCTTACAGGGCGTCGGAAGGGCAGGAGTCTCTGGAGTACGATTGTTAACACACACTAGTCCAAAGTCAAGCGAGGTTAGCTTACGTCCTCCTCCCCCCAGACACACATGCGCCAGTCACAAAGAAGAAGCACAGGCGGTGTCGTCTTGTCTCTCCGTGCCCAACATCATGGATGGGCACCAAGACCTACACTTCTCCTCACTTAACTCTCTCTCGCGGCGGGGCCTATTCAAATCTCGGCTTGATCTTAAGGAAGAAGACAGCAAAGAGAAGCGGAATGCCTGGGCGAAGGCTCTTGTGAAGCGAAACGCATTACCACCGGTAGATTCTGTTCAGGAGCTTCAGAAGAACAAAGATGGATAATAGTATACATAAAAGACTTTCCCTGGAACTTAGAATTGAGGAAGGAACTAGGGTGTAAAGACTTGCGTCTGGAAGAAGCGGATCCTTCGCGATCAGCTCCACCGTCAGATTCTACGGAGCATTCCCAGCTCCAGTGGTTTTAGTTCATCCGAGATTCGTTACGCTTGAACCCGGAGAGAAGTGAGATCCAGTGAGGGAGACATATATTCATACGAAAGTGATCATGGCGTGTCCATGTGTTGAGTATAGAGCGGGGATGACATGCCTGCGGAACTTACACCAGAGACCAAAAACTTCAAGTCAAAAGTCGGCGTCTGACATTATGGCTAATGCAGGATCTGAAGACAAAGTGACCAGGAAGGAGGGATTACATCTGTGGGAACTACCTATGGTGGACAGCAGCAAAGAAGAAGCTGTCACATGCTCAGATACTCAGGATGAAGAAAATGCACCTACTTCTTAACTCTAATGTTGAGGCATCGTAAGTATAATCATGTCTTTATTCCAACGTTGAGGCATCGTAAGTATAATTATATCTTAACTCACGATATGATTACACATACGATGTCTCATCTTCTAACTCCAACATTGAGGCATCGTAAGTGTGATTTTGTCTTACTCCCATGTCGATGCATCATAAATCTTTTTAGTATGATTATATATTATTAGTTCTGGTATCAATGTTCAATATGTACAGATTCTTACCTCCTTTTGGTCCCTTTGCTCTTTTTCCAGTCATAATCTTTACTCGTAAGACCATTTTGTAATTTTCAATCAAGTCTTTTCAACTCCAATCAGTTTCTTGCCTCCAATGTATTTGTGTATTATTTATATATTATATATTCTTAACTGCCATATATTTATGCTGTATATTGTAAGTCCAATCATGGTATTCATTCTGCATTTGAGATGACTCAAGTCGAGTTCTAAGGCCTCCAAAGTTGAGACTGTGTTAGAAACTCATCCTTTTACATCCAGTGTTAATCACAGTACAGTTACGTATATTGTTATATGATCATGCTCTCATTGTCACCCTGTTTGTTTTCAGGGAGGTATAGCAGTCCGAGGTAGACCTTGTACATAGACATATACATAGCCAGAAACATTGTACATATGTATATATATCCTGTATACAGAACTAGAGAAAGTGCTCAGTGTATAACATAGCATGTCATACGATGAGGGACATGGTTATCACAATGGCCGAGAAGGTGATCGCTAAGGTCAAGGACACAGCAGTGAAGTAAAACAGTGGTACAAACAGCTGACGAATACTGCACACCACCAGTATCAGTACTGATGAATGATACTGGAAAGCCCAGTAAGTGAGAGTAACGAGCTATTCACTTCTCCACAGTGGTTATATCTCCTGTTGTATTAATAATCCGGAATTTATGAAATACCTGGGAGAAACCATGACAACTGGAATGAATTCTGGATAATGCTGAAAATGGCTAGTGATTACTGGATTAAACCGGTATGAGCTGGAATGAATTCTGGATTATGCTGATAATAGCTAGAGTGGTTACTGGATTAAAGCCGGTATGAGCTGGAATGAATACTGGATTACACCTGTACTGGCTAGAATAGAAAGCTATATGGGACTGGCAGTGGCAGGAATGTTGTGATTCCAGAATCCTTGGGAATATGATCTCAAGACATCTACACCAAAATGAACAGAGAGGGGCCAGATCTGAAGGGCATTACTCTGGTGCAAAGGATTGTTAATCCAGAAATGTGTTTTCAGGGAGACATTACAATCCTGATTAATTGGGTGCTCTGTACAGTGTACTGGGTCGCTAAAGTGCCACATTAGGAGCAGTTAGAACTCATAGCTGTGAATCAGAATTCAAGATGGATGCTTAGCTAACAGAGAAGTGACAGTGATTGTAAAGTGAAGCGGATTGACAGATTAAAATAGATTGCCAGAATGGACATCAAATTATGGAGTGTGATTACTTTATTTCGACAGCGTGTATAGTTTGGGCTCCATTGTTGGATGTGCCGTGACTGTTTTTCAGATGATACCTGGAATGAGAGGACAAGCCATACAAAAAGATTAATATTGTTTGAATAAGCACCTGATAAGAAGGATAATTGGTGTGTTGCCTTATGTAATAGACAGATAATGAGAGGCAGTACTTTATTAGGATATGAAGGTCCAGTTGCTTTAACAAATATATTTAACAAATGAGAATAATCAGATATATTATCAACTGAAAGATTCCATTGGGTCTGAAAGGCAAAATGGCTGTGAAAATCAGTGACGACACCAGATGTTTGGAAACTGGGTCTTGCTCTTGCTGGAGCAAGCATCACTCTCACAAATAGCTTAACTAGGTCTTGGGTACCCTAGTGGTTAAGGAGTGTCTCGTCACACAAAAGACCAGGTTTGATTCCCCACATTGGTACAATGTGTGAAGCCTATTTCTGGTGTTCTACGCTGTGATATTGATGGAATATTGCAAAAAGCGGCTTAAAAACTAAACTCACTCAGTTGTCTAATGCTGCAACACAGCAATGTGAGGTCAGTCTGAAATAAAGCTGATTGCCATTGGCCTCCCATTTATCCCTATAGAGTACTGTCAGAACACCTTTGCCTGGGTTAAAGCACAGCCTAACATTTCCATAAGAACACATCTTTGTATAGTGAACAGTTTGTGCAAACCACCCACTGCCCAGGCATCTGTGTACATCTCAAGGTACATGCAGCTGTTGTATGAATTGTATTCCATTGTACTCCACGATACAAATGCCCTTTGGATCACCGCCTCCTGCTGTTCTTTGATGGAGGATGCTGCAACGATTGCCCTACCAGTGTTGCCTCGCCTCTATGAAGATGTGGCAAATACTATAGTCCAAGATATGGGAACAATTTTTTGTTCACCCAAGAGTCCATACATGTTAATTCTTGTTTCAGAGATAAAAAGAACTGAATTTTCCAAAAATCTGGTGGTCCAATTTTACATTAGATGGCACTGTGGTCATGATGCAATACTTCTTATAAATATGTGAATGTCATCTTTTTTTCTGATAATATCTCTGACAATACATATGTTTGCCATAAAACATCAAAAACATGATCAGTATTGACACTTTTTGTTCATTTCCCTTACTTCATATTAACTGAAATAAAAACACTTTGTACAGAATATATTTTCTGCAATAGAAATGTGCTGGAAATTCACAGAATCATTTTTCACCTTTCCGTTAATAGTAATCACAAGGTTAGAACAAAACTAATGATCACCTAATATTTTGAATGAATAGACAAGGGAGAAAACTCTTGTCATTTTGATCATCAGATTTTTTATCAGTTTTGAAATATTTAGCTTTTGTCTTTGAACAAGCATTAACTTGTACGAACTTTCTTAAGAATAAATTGCTCCCATTTCTTGGATCCAATGTCCTCAATACACAACCCAGCCACTACAATGCAATGAAGCCCTGATCAAAACAAACGACACAAGGAGTTTTAAGTAGCTGTTCATGTTGTAACATCTGTTGGTTGTACATGTGGAATAGGACATCAACATTCTAACATTAGGACCACATTACATAGGACATATAGGGATGTATTAGACCAACCCGATACATAGGACTAGGACATTACTTTGGACTAGGACATATAGGGGCGATATTAGACCAGCCGGTACATAGGACTAGGACATATAGGGACGTATCAGACCAGCCGATACATAGGACTAGGACATATAGGGACATTATCAGACCAGCCGGTACATAGGACTAGGACATATAGGGACGTATCAGACCAGCCGATACATAGGACTAGGACATATAGGGACGTATTAGACCAGCCGGTACATAGGACTAGGACATATAGGGATGTATCAGACCAGCCGGTACATAGGACTAGGACATATAAGGACGTATCAGACCAGCCGGTACATAGGACTAGGACATATAGGGACGTATTAGACCAGCCGGTACATAGGACTAGGACATATAGGGACGTATCAGACCAGCCGATTAATAGGATTAGGACATTACTTTGGACTAGGACATATAGGGACGTATTAGACCAGCTGATACATATGACTAGGACATTACTTTGGACTAGGACATATAGGGACGTATTAGACCAGCAGATACATAGGACTAGGACATTACTTTGGACCAACCAATACAAGTCTTAAGTTGATGTTTAAACATATATTTTAGGGGGGTCTACATTGTGGTATCCTTTTTCAGAGGATGTCATATTGGGAAATAATGTACAAAACTGTACAATAGAATGATATTTGTTAAATAAACCGACTTCTCTTCTACGATGTAGGTTCATGTGTAGCATCTGATGTGTTAATACTAGATAACATCCATTCTTATACTGCTGAAAATATTTGATAACAATTTAGTTTTACTTTCGATACTGTGTTGTGAATGTGTCCGTGTAAAAGGAGCATAAAACCATTCTCACTGTTACTAAGGCATTTTGACTTTCAAGATGATCTTCCTTGGTTCACAGTACTAATACAGTTTAACGCCATTATGTCGTACTTTGATGTGTTGAATACAGTCGAAAATTGAAACTGTGGCACTGCATATTCCGTTTTTAGTCATTTTGAGACTGTTGAACTTTGGATAACTCGAATGATTTACATAGGTCCTTTCTTCTGTGACATACGATATTTGTTTGTATGTTTAGCGAGAAGGAATTTGTGTTGGTAGAAGTACTAGCTAATGTATACTACACACAAGAAGTTACAGAATACAAGATTCTTGGATATAACGATAGTTAACCTGCAATTCTAACTTTGGTAATATACTACCCATCAAAAGTTCAGACTCACTGAAAGCACTCACTATATGTTACGTATATATATACAATGTATATAGTTACACCAAAGATGAATTTCACCTCTAACTTGGGGGAAACCAACCCCAAACCTTATGCAGATGAATTAGGCATCAAATTGCTGAAAAGCATGTGCAAATATGGTGCATGTTAACAGCTGCGTAATTGGTGTAATCTTTTGTTAACAAGTCACCAATTTTCACAGAGTTTCATCATTTATTGAAATCATGACAATCTTTGCAACGTTTCGAATATGTTCTAAAATACATCAGTTCATATGTAAACCGTATGTAATATTTTTGCAAAATCTAGTTTAGAACAGTTGACTGAAGTAAGTGGCTACATTTACACTAGTGTCTAAACTTTTGATGGGTAGTATATGAACAACTTCAGTAGTATACATTGTTGGTTTACTCTTAGAGCCAGTGTGAAAAGCACCAAAGTCTGAGTATCGGATTTGTTAAAACATTACTGTTAAAATAATGGCTTTACTTTACATGTAAAATCTGTCTGAAGAAGTAACATGACTACAAGTTTCCACAGCATCTGTTTTAGATATATACCCAGTCTTGCCAATACTGATTTGTATTCAAATTCTAACTTAGAAATTCTGAGCTTGAGTTCTAAGTCTGCAGTATATACTACAAATCTTCGTTTTTTGAATGGATCATTGCATGGTCATTATTTTCATCATTGTCAAACCGAAAAAGCATTTTAAGAAATATACAAGGTGAAAGCAATATTTTTTTATATTTCATTGGCTACATATTCTGTGACATGAAGAAATGTTTTGTCATTATTGGGGTTTTGCGAGTAGGATAGTGTGAGCATCTCAGCCTGTTTCAAAAAGATTGTGCTATGATATCATAACTCCTTACAATAGGGTTGAAAGAGTAATAGCGGAGAGATTTTTTGAAACTGTGCCTGGAAGCCAAGGATATGCCGAGCAACCAATTATTGCAATAACAACACAAAACTAAGTTTTATATTTATATAGTATACATGTGATAATATTTTTATAGGCCACTTCCCAAAAAAATTGTACCATTTTTACTGCCATTAATTTATGGAGCATGGTAACTTGAAGAAAACTGAACCAAAAATATTGCCTGTTGATCTAGAACATAAATCAGTATTTGCAATATATTCATTGGTATATGCTTAATTAAGATAAAATAACACTTACATTAGCATGTGAAAGTAAAATGATCCATAGAATCATCTCCGAGCTATTAAAATGATAATGTTTAGTGAAACATTGTCAGGGGTTATTCTGTGTTGTAAGAACTGGTGTTAGAAGTAACTCGTCAATCTGGTATTGTGTGGTCCGAGATGTGGTAGATGGTGTTCATGGTCTTGGGGATGTTGCGTGTTGAGACTGAAACATTACTGTATTGTCCGCTGTCCCTACCATGAACCATGTGATATTCAAACCTCTGTATTTATATATATATAAATATATATACATATACTAGTATCCCAAGAAAAAATGTTAGTAAATAAAATATGAAATCTCAAAAGTTTCTTTGTCGTTGCTGAAGCTTTAACACCAGGATGCAAGGGGCATAACTCTTACCATAATGATGGAAGGGATGTAACTCTTAGCATGAGGATGCAAGGAATAGTTTTGAGCATTGAGGACACCAAAAGGATTCAGCAGACCCAAAATGTATACAACATATCTTCAGACAAGGGAGATAACTGACATTGCCACTTGTGTTACCCTGCCTGGCACTCAGCAGTATTCTAGCTGTCTGTAAATAATCGAGTCTGGACCAGACAACCCAGTGATCAACAGCATGATCATCGTGTAATGGGGATATGATGACATGTGTCCACCAAGTCGGCGAGCCTGACCGTCTGATGCCACATCTTGCCATAGCATAGGATGCCAACTCAGATCTTGGCACTGGGGGCTAAAACAAGGATCATTTCCCAACAAGAAACACTGAACTGAAATGGTGCAATAATCTTCAGGAGAATACAATACTGAAGCCCTCCAAAGCTTGACATGCATATCTGGGGCTTGAATGTGTGTGTTAGAAATGTCCATTTAACAATGTTTAGTAAAGATGTATTATCATCGGGTGATCTTATGGGTGAGTATTAGAACTGGAGTGCAGCCTTAAAGAACAAACAACACAACAAATACAAACAGAAGTGTGTATATAAAAATTATTATATTATAACAGACCCAGTAATTACAACAAAACTGTATCAAAAGTTGATAAACTTGTGATAATGCAGTCTGTATACTGTACCGATTTAAGAAGTCTTGGTAAGCTAACTGTTGTTCTGGACGCACTGTAACCAAAAATATTCATAAATATTCCATATTCAATCTGATTACAAGGTACATTAAAAGGTTAAATGTTGTCGAGATATTCAACCTCGCAAGTCCGGCCTAACCTGATGAGCAGAAGGTGGTGGCTGGCTTGGGTTTGGTGCCTGACTCTAAGGATGTGGGTTTGAATCCGGACAGGCATCAACCAACAGAAGTTCTAGAATCTACTTCACTAAGAAAGCATAATCCCAAATATAACATGTTACTTATTATATTCTGAATTCCCTTGGGGTTATCACCTTGGAAATGAATCTGACCTTCAATATCACTTGCAAGTATTCCAAATGCACAAAACCTATACTATGATGTCCCTTGGTCTTGGTCAGTGTTAGAAGCAAAAAACAGTATATGCTATTCATTGAAAGTAATTCACAAAGACCTCCCACTGACATCGTAAGATCACCAAACACAAGTGTCTATATGATAACATGTTATTTCACCGAGTAGAATATTACTTTTGCCTGGAACTACTTTCTGCTCAAGGGCTGGACTGTAGTTTGGTTGCGTAATAAAATGCAGACTTACTCGATGTCTCGATCATTTATAAACAAGGATCAAAATATAATAAATGGAATATTTTATTAATGTTGTCAAATACTGCGTATTATCGCATGTGTCATGAGAGAATTAGACACATATATTTTCCAATGATGTCCTCTGGTCTGATTTGGAATAATGGACATTTTCTATGATAGGTATTTCTAAATCAGGTTTGTCTGCATTTGACTGCCCTAGATCAATCAAGAAGTGCATATATTTTTATATGCACTATCCTTTTTAACGAAATGTCTTCCGCTTCAGACATTTTTTATATCCATTACATAAAATGGATATATTCTACTCAGTGAAAATACCATTTTTACCAATATTTACAGTATTTCACCCTTAAGAATATAATAAATGTGTCTAATTCACTCATGATAGATGACATAATAATGCTATGACATCAAAATCACTTCTTCAGACAATTGAAACAATCACTTTGTGATCACTCCATCACAGAATTTTTACCAGGAATCAATAGCACTTGGAAGTAGAACTGTACAAAGATAGCACTTTTATACTTCATAAACACAGCAGTTTTCTTCACAATGGTAATTATGACAACAACTAAATTGTAATTCATATACAGTTAAAAAATTCACACAATGTTAAATTATATGTAGATATAGGTAAGTAAAGAGGTGATGTTCACTTCTGTACAGCAGCACATCTATCTAGATATTCACAACATAATCGAACGAGGTGTTCCTACAAATTTTCAGATCAATCTTCAGGTAAAGTCTTCCTTCTGCTTTATATTTTTCTTTGGTCTTACAGAGATGCCAACCCCAAAGTGTTGCAAATAGTAGTTTCCAAGATCAAAATTAGTAGTTTGACCATAAAATTAGTAGTCATCTAAATACTTAAAATCATGATGGATTCTGAGAAAGATGATATGACACTTATCAAGAGTGAAGCTTTAATTTCACATGCCTCCAACAGCAGGTTTCCAAATTATCAGCATTACATTTCTTCTTGTCTCTTTTTGGCGAAAATGTATGTTTTTGTCTATATATCCGAATTTTAATGAGTTTTCTTCAAATTTTGTAGAATTTCTAGTGCAGTCGTATTGGCGTAGTCTGAGGCTAAAATTCGTAGCGACTACGAATAAATCGTAGAGGTTGGCATCTCTGGTCTTATGTTTATTTAAAGATATATTTTGTTTTGGTTGGTTGGTTTGTTGTATAACGCCACACTCAACAATACACCAGGGCCCCGTTCCTCACAGCGATCGTAGCGCTACGACAGTCGTAAGTCTATGTTAAAGTATGGGAGTTACGATCATCGTAGCTCTACGATCGCTTTGAGGAATGGGACCCAGCTATATGGCAGCTGTCTGTAAATAACTGAGTGTGGACCAGACAATCCAGTGATCAACAACATGTGCATTATTATATTTTGTGAATACATATACACAAATACTGAAGTTATGCAAAGCCTATAATTACACCCTGAAGTGCCTTAAAATGCAAAAGATCTTGTGGGCATGAAGGAGTTTTCGATCAAAACAAACATATTGACTGTTTTATGTACATTAACACTTATGCACCTGAAGAAATAACACATATCAGTTCAAACAATGAGGTATACACATACTGTATTCGCCACATTAGATAAAGAGAAAGTAGAGGGGCACTTAAAATTGTATGAACACTATGAGCAAGTTGAATTATTGCTGGAGACCAAGCAGTAGATTTGGTTTAGATGTTGCTAAAACCCAATAGTAAGAGACAGTATAAGAAAAGAAAGATTTATGGATGTCAACTTCTTTATTATGAATAACCACGGCGTTTGAGTGTATGCTGCTCGTCACCATTCACCTGATGGCCGGATAAAGCATACACTCAGAAACGCGTCTATTCTACAATAAAGAAATTGACATCCATAAATCTTCTTTTCTTCTGCATTCCACTTCTAGATGCCCTTCAAAGATTTAAGAGATAGAAGGAAGTTATATACTCCTATCACAGTGTCTTCGGAGATGTAATGTACACAAACTAAAATGGACTAAGATTTACGTTTGAACTTTGTAAAGGGCTCTGAAGAGATTGCATACAGTGAGTAAGAATTTGCCTCACTTTTAGCAATATTACAGCAATATCGTGACGGGACACCAGAAATGGACTTGGCACATTGCATCCATGTGGGGAATCAAGCCGGGTCTTGGCTTGACAAGAAAAGCCTGATCCAGTTAGGTCTTAGACATATCACGGTGGCAGATTTTGTGAAACCCACAAACAGGAATGATGCTGACATACCTAGACTGACTGACTGAGTTTGGGAAAAGCTTTTAGCAATATTCCAGCAACATCACGCGGCCGGGGACACCAGAAATTGGCTTCACACAATGTACCCATGTGGGGATTCAAACCGGGGCTTCAGCGTGACGAGCCAACGCTTTAACCACTAGGCTACCCCACAGCCCCGACATACCTAGAAGCATGACTGGGTCTAACTGGGATTGGAATCTATGTTGAAAGTTTTTTTGCGTACCAAAGGGACATAACTCTGTAAAGAGACCTGCAGCGCCTGAGCCAAGTGAGCAATGTCAGTCATATATGCACTTCATTGTGAGAGCAAGGGTTACAAGCAGGGTGAATTTCACATTCAAACATTGACATATGTAACAGCTGCAATTGTGGATATAGATACTGCAAGCTCTCAGACCACTGGATGCCCCAAAACCATCTGTAGTCACACAGTCATTCTGACCATTCATTCGACAACTAGATACCAATGCCAAGTGTTGCAAGAGAAGTTGAGTGAGTTAGTTAGTTAGTTTTACGCCGCTTTTAGCAATATATACTATCACTGTACCCTATGTCTTAGTACCATACAAAAGATACTTTTGTATAGTGCTAAGTGAGTATGGTTTAATGCTGCTTTTAGCAATATTCCAGAAATATCATGCCAGCGGACACCAGAAATGGGCTTCACACATTTGTACCCATGTTGGGAATCAAACCCGGGTCTTCAGCGCGAAGAGAAAATGCTTCAACCACTAGGCTACCCCACTGCCCCTTTTGCCAGAGCCTATCCATGTAAGTGGTCTTGGGTCCATAAACCATCACAAACAAAGCTATAAAACATTAGGCCAAAGGTATATTTAAAACTGAATTAAATTAGATAAAACATGAACACAAGACAACATCTAGATTTGATACTGAAGCATCATCCAAAATACAATGCACCAAAACATAACATTTAATATCACTGGCCTCAAACTAAGATGGTTTTCATTACATTAAAAAAATAAAATACACCCAACAAAAGCTGCTCCAGGTAAGCTTTTTGCATAAAATATGCATAATAATTAACCATAACAATTAATTTTAGTTGTTTACATACAAATATGTAATAAACTTGTTTTACTTTCATTCCATCCCATTTCAGTACCAAACATCCAGCCTCAATATTGTCTCCTGATAAAAACATTACGACTTAGTGAGTGAGTTTAGTTTTACGCCTCTTTTAGAAATATTCCAGCAATATCACAGCAGTGGACGCAATAAATGGGCTTCACACATTGTACCTATGCGGGGAATCGAACCTGGGTCTTCGGCATGAAGAGCAAGCACTTTAACCACTAGGCTACCCCACCACCCATAACAACTTAAGTAATGAATGCACATACTTCACATTTGCTCCAGGCATACTCGGGAAAAGCTATTGATACTTATGGGTCAAATGTCAGGTCAGGTATCAGGTCAGATCAAATCAGATTACTTCAGGTCATGTCAAGTAGCACATTGATAGAGCAAGGGAACAGGTTTTACTCGTGTTTTGTTCCCTGGAGTCAATGGGCAATTGAGCAACAAAACAATGAACTCATTATAAAACTCCTCTATTTCACCCATGGTGCAAAAGTTGAAGTTATCTCCATGGATATACAACTTATTTTTTCATACGGTTGCCTGATAACAGTGTTAACGCATTATAAGAAAGCTGTACGTCCATAGAATAATCTCCCCTGTTCTGTATACATACTTTTGAATGCCTAACTCAAACTTTGTAAATAATAAAGCCATGTCACAAAAACACACCACTCATGAATTCAATTCAATATTTATGATCACCGGAAGAGAATCTTCATTAATTTTTTTAAAAGGAGTATTTTTACTAGAATTACTGTATTACGTATTATATTTTGTGCAGGTTTTATTTTTGCACTTTTCGCGCAAAACATTTTAGAGAGAAAATTTATACGCCGCGAGTAACACCCTTCCGTGAGTAAACGGATTACTGTGTACTAGTATATCGCACAGATAGGGATTTCCTGTGAGTAAGCAATAAACGCCGCCTGACAGGTTAAGCCACTCTGTTTGTTTTCACTGCTATTAGTGGCGGCCAAAGAGACAGCTGGCAGTTCCGTCAATTACTGATTGCGAGATTAATTGACCGCGCGATGTAGTCTAAACTGTCAATTCCGCGAAAATTGCACCACACGAAAATAAGTATGTTTACAGTAGTTCCCTAATTATGAAAGCGAGATATACAAAATAGCAGGTATCCAAACCAGACAGGATGATAGTCAACACATTTGACAGAAATGTGGTCACTGTTATATATAAATACTGTCAACATGATCAAAACATGTCCTAACTATATTTTGTTCCCGTTTCACTGAATGTAATAAATAATACTTCAGTTGCTGACAGGGCTGCAACGAATACACTATGTGGCCAATATGATACGTATCATGAATATTGGGTAACGAATACGAATAATTATTCACGAATACAATATTGTAGTTAAGTGATTGATGTACAATATGGAACGCCCATGTTGACAGTGTTAATTTGTCACAGCAATAACCAGTATTCTCATGACACTCAAATTTGGTATGTAATAGTTGGCAAACTGACATGACTTGCGCTACTGCAATGCTAGTACATGTTCCATTCTTGCATATCTCACTTTGGAAAAGGACATACGGGTTCAAGTAAAACATGCTCCCTTAAAAAAAACGTAAATATTCGTTATTATTTGGTTCTGGTCACAAATAACGAATTGAATTCATGAAGGGTTACGGTTCGATTCATCGAATATGCGAGTGAATCGTTACAGCCTTAGTTGCTGACTTGTTACTGTATTTGCTACCCAACATTCACGATATCTATCATATTCCCCTCGAACAGAGCGAGTTTAAGTTAGACAGAATCAGTAAATATACATAATCACTGAAAAAATCATTAATTATACTTATTATACTTTACCATATACACCAAATTGTTGCAAAATAGCGACGTAATCAAACAAATTTGGTTTTGTTTGAAAATGGATACAAACCAACCCACCCTCCAAATCTGTAACAGGATACATGGATACACTCCCACCTCTCCTTCCGGCCCTGTAACAGGGCACATGGATACACTCCCACCCCTTCCTCTGGCCTTGTAATGGGGCACATTGATACACTCCCACCCCTTCCTCCGTCCCTGTAACAGGATACATGGATACACTCCCACCCCTTCCTCTGGCCCTGTAACAGGGCACATGGATACACTCCCACCCCTTCCTCCGTCCCTGTAACAGGATACATGGATACACTCCCACCCCTTCCTCTGGCCCTGTAACAGGGCACATGGATACACTCCCACCCCTTCCTCCTCCCACAGGATACCCTTCCTCCCGCCCTGTAACAGGATACATGGATACACTCCCACCAGGGCACATGGATACACCTCCTCCGTCCCCTGTAACAGGGCACATGGATACACTCCCACCCCCCTTCCTCAGGCCCTATAACTGGGTACATGGACATGGATACACCCATCCTCTGACCCTGTCATACAGGGTTCGTGGTCACACTTTCACCATGTAAACTGATCTTGGATCAACCCCTAACCCCCACCAATCCTAACAGTACACAGTACTTCACAGGAACACTTTTACCGGTTCACGCAAGACATCAGACACTTTTACCTTCACACAAGACATCAGACATTCCTTCACACAAGACATCACACATTCCCACACACAAGACGTCAGACATTCCTCCACACAAGATGTCAGACATTCCTCCCTGCAGGCACTAAGGTCATTATTTTTCCAGCTCAGAATCAGTCTTCAGATACTCTGCCAGATGATACATGTCTGAGCGCTGTACTTGGTACAACATCTCAGCTACAGTGGGGTTGGTATTCTCGCTCCGCCAGCGCCTCAACAGCTGATATATGACTTCCTCCAGCCCCCGCGAGCTGTATTCCTCATACAGCTCATCAACATCGTAGTCCTGCAAGCCGATGAACCGAACTGGAACACAAACACAGGGTTACATGGCTGACTCTAGGTCATGACAGCAAACTCGGATTGTTTGATAGATAAACAGACAGACAGACAGACAGACAGACAGAGAAGACAAGAAAGACACTGGAATTGTAATTAAACAATGAAAGTGGTTACAATGCAACAATGTGCACTGGAATTACGTAATTAAAGTGCATGTTTACAATTTTAATATGTGCAAATTTGATGGTTGTTTAGTTCATTGGGTGTTATACAAAAACAACAAAATTCCGATTAATTGAAAAATGTAATTTTCTGAGTAAAATTGATATTTTATACTTATCCTGACTCATGCTTATTGCTTGTCTCCCTTTCCTTCCGAATGCTAGAACACTTGAATCCCCTTTTGAAGCTCCCTTCGAAAAAGCGGACGTAAAATCACTTACCAGGAGTCACCTCCCTTGCTAGGTTTTGGCGGGAAATGGCGCCACCCGTCTCCCATGCTCTTCACTCTCTCCATATTTTATAGCCCGACACACTGATTTACTGGGAAATCCAGAGTGCCTTGAGGGGAGGTTGGGAGGGCTTACCTCATGAGTCAGGATAAGTATAAAATATCAATTTTATTCAGAAAATTACATATTTTTCCTTATCCTGACTCATGCTTATTGCTTGTAGAATCCGACGGTATAGGTGGTGGGCCAAGCCACCTCTGGATTCCTTAGTGATGAATTTACGTCCTATATACCCCCATGGGAACTTTCAGTGGCACTGCTGCTGTTGATCCATATGTCGAAATAATTTGGTAATTTGGGGGGACCACAATATATCAAAACTCTTCTGTAACCGTACATGTGGATTTAAATAACTCCAACTCTTGATGGTCATATCAAGTGGAGTAGTGACCCTATCCGTGTACCAGTAATTCCTTACAAGTACAGGGTCCAATATTCATGCTAGTCTGTTCTAGATGTGTACATGGACTATAAGCTCTATTCCTTGGAGTACGAGCTTTGCATGACATGCGATAAAAGGGTGAGATAACCTCCAGCGCCTTTGAGGACCGTCAGTTGTTGAGCTACAACCAGAGGTCCAAACTGGTGGATACCGGAGACGTCCTCGGTAGCAATGTCTCTGAGGAAGTGGTTAGCAAATACTGTCTCCGATTTCCAAAAACACCCTTCCATGATCGTGGATATTGAGCAGTTTCCATGTAGAGCGAGTGTAGATGCCAGTGCTCTAACCGTGTATGGATTGGAGGCTCGAGGAGGCTCAAGTCCTGCTGCCTTGTAGGCTCGTAGTATGATTGCTCTCATCCAAACTGATATCGTAGTACGTGAGATCTCTGTGGGTGTCTCCGACGATATGGGGATGAAAAGGCGTTTGAATTTTCGTCTCCTGGTTTTAGACTTTTGTAGATATATTTTCAGCGCTCTGACTGGACATAAGGATAAATCTTGTATATCCTGTGGACCAAGGATTGTAGGTAATGCTGGGATGTGGAATTGTCTGTCCGGTTGACCTGGCAGTTGATTCTTAGCTATGAAATCAACCCCACCTGTGACGTGTGTCAAAACGTATCCGTTCGAAGTCCAGCGCATGTATTTCTGACATTCATGCCGCTGTTGCCAAGGCGATCAGAAATAGCGTTTTCTGTGTAAGAAATTCGTAAGAAGTTCTTTCTAGTGGTTCGTACACATCACTGGTGAGATGTCGTAATACCACGTTGAGATCCCAAGCCGGCGCTTTAAATTTCATTTGTTTGTCTTCCAGTTTAAAAGAGTGTAGCAAGGCCAGTAACTCTGGCACTTTCGTCAGTTTCACGCCTGTCTTCATAGTGATAACTAAGCTGAGAGCCACTAGGTATGTAGACTTCTGCGCAGGGCGTTGTCTCTCATGGACCAATCAAAATGCAGTATTTTGATTCCTTTCAGATTCCCGCAATGTGACGTCACTGGTGTCGCCGAAAAAAGATCCTTGTAGAATCTTGTGCAGTCGTTGATTTCTTCATCAACACTCGGCCTTGTCCGTAACCTCCCGAAGTTACACGAGTGACCACGTGTATAGAGGGCTGAATGGTAAACGCGCGAAATCTTTCGCCGCGTAATACCGATGTAGGTAGACTGACTCCCTGGCTGCTGTGACTGTTCCTTCATTCCTGAAGATAATGCAGTCGTCATCTTATACAGATGATCAGCTGAAATTCCATACTTGCTTAACGTTGTTACTTGTAGACTGTATTCATCGGTCTCAATGAAGCGTCGTAAAATACCCCCTTTGTGTTGAATACCCAAAGGTGTTTGTAGAGTTGATACTTGCAACTTCAGTGTAAGATCTACAACGGGAGCCGTTGATGATCTTGCAGTTCACATCAATCTCTGGAGCCTTCATGAAGGGTTCTGTGTGAAGTAGTGGGAAATCCCTGGCTTGGACGTCGAGGATATGTTGACTGTGGAACTTCATAGCCTTACCAAGGCTGCGCTGAAATTCTCCGGTAGTATCTATCAAGTTGTTAGCTCTGAACCGCGACGACGTGACTGCCTGAAGATCTGCACGCAGGTGAATGATCTGTATATGGACATGAGTCCCTCCTGGATTCTTAAAGAACCACTAAACTTTGTTTTTTGTTACTCTTTTAACCATTACATATGAAAGATTTGTGGTTAGTCTTATGCGGAACACCAAATGTATTCTTTAAAAACTTGTGGTTAATTAATACCGAGCGATTAAAAGTGGCCAAAAAGTCGCCTGCTTCCCTCTCGCCCGACAACGAAACCACAGACAGGTTACGTAACTCTGTCGCCAGAGCACTGCAGTGACGTCATATGAGGAACGATTTTCAGTTAGTTGTATAGAAAATGTGTAGCACGCTCATCATTTTGATGATTTCTCGACATCAACGACTACATGCCGAATCGTTGCTTTGTCGCCAATTGTTCTAGGGTCGGCGATGGTGTCCCCATGCACAGATTTCCACAGGACCCCACAGTTAGGTGTAAGCAAATGGGTTATGTTTGTGAGCGGTTGAGCGTTGTGGAAGCCTGAAACGATATCTTACTTGTGTTCAGATCGCTTCACGGGAAGTTAAAGAATCAAAACTACTTACTAGTTGTAGTAAAATATGCATACGATTGATGACCATAAAGATTTTCTATGACACAACTTGTAACATAACGATTTCTTCCTCGAAGTGAGGTTGTGGTCGAAGTAACAATAATATTGTAAGTAGTATTATATTGACACCCACCTGGCTGCCACGAGAGAAATTGTTATGATATATGCTTATGTCATGCAAAATCCTATTGGCCATCAATAAAATACATATTTTACTACCAGTAGAAAAGTAGTTTTGATTTTGTACTTTCCGTGAAAAACAAACCTAAATACCATTTATCCTCAGACTGGCGGATGTTCCGACAGAGCGCCGCCATTTTTAAAAATAAAAATCTGTTAGAATTAATGAGATTATAGTTTGTTTTCATCAAGTTAGAAAATCAAGACTACTTTCTACTGAAGAGTTAAATATGTATTGGAATCATAACCAAACGGATTTTGCATGACACAACTTATAACATAACGATTTCTTCCACGGAAGCGCAGGTGGGGTCGAAGTCACAATACTGCTGATAAATTTCTTTGCTACATTCCCATGGTTAATGTCCACTCACCAGTATGTAGATACTAGTCAGTGTGCGTCTTTATATATTTGGTCTTATAATCCTAATTAGTTTATTATCATACTTGTATGCATTTTGAAACTAAATAAAAAGCAGACGATCTGCTGATACTTATAGTGAATTTATAACAGAACTGTAATATCTAGACATTTTATAGTTTGCCAATGTGAATCATAATTAAGCACACACATCCTAGTGCATGTTGTCTGTCTCATTACACTTCACGGCGAAAACAATGATTCTGTTGAATGCTACGACAAATGAATAAAAACAAAATGCAAATATTAAAATTAAAACAGATTAAAATTATAGGAACAATATCAGGCCATTACCTTGTTCGAGGAATGTATCCATCAATATCCACAAACTGTTCCAAATGATGTATCTTTTAACAGTTTAATATCTGAAAAAGTGATAAATCTTTTCAGGTATTGGTGTATAGTCTAATTGGTCACCCAAGATAGCACACCTGGCAACTAATTGCATAATGTCCGCCTTTCTTTAAAAACAGTAATTTAGTTAGCCAATAATGGGCAATCAATCAATGTATTGCCGGTTAATCCTTTGAAAGAAGGACGTTGTTTTACGCCAGACACCGACCACGACAGAGTGTATTCAGTATAAATTAGTAAATCTACATACATAAACACTACCTTTTGACAATTCCGCTGTGTAAGATAAAAGTAATTAATCAATCAGCGTGTTATCGGTTAATCCTTTGATCGATGTTTATAATGTTGAATATTTACTCCAGACACAAGAAATGCCAAATGGGAACCTTTGTCGGGTAATCTAAGTGTGTTACCACTAATTATACCTGTTATAAATTCATTAACTGACCATCAAGTGAATGATGACAAATAACATGTGTAGGTTTATACCACCTAACACGGGTTACAACGAGGGAGTATTAATTGCTGTATTGCATGTGAAAACTTATGGGCCGACACTGTTTTGAGAATACAAACAGATTTTACATGACATGATTAAATATCGAGGTAAAACAACACAGAAATGGGATCAATTTGGATCAGTCATTATACAAATAGGGCCTAACGACACCAATCGATTTTGACAGAATCGTTTATGAAAACAAGTTGTAACTCGGAAACTAGGCAAAGCAGGAGACAAAATTAAATGACAGTAGATTGTGAGAACATATAGCTTTCATTTTCCACAACAGTTGTCATCGCGATTTCAGGTTCATACAAGCCTGTAAAACAAGATAATTTAACCCCTAAAATGTAGATGAATTCTGCATCGGCTCTCAAAGCTATTCCTCATATGACGTCACAGAGGCGCGCCGCTCTGATTGGTTGAAATTTCGTTCGCGGGTGAGAATTGTGCACTGTTGTCAAAAAGGTCGATTTAAGTCAATTAAAGGTCGAAATGAGTAGTTTTAATGACGGGGTTTCATTTATAACGATGCCAGTTAGTGATTTATGTATTTGTACCCCCTAGGGTTTATGTGACCTTTAAGAAGCATCTTTAACCTTCATGAATGTGTAGGTTCTCAGCGTCGAGGAGAGTTTTTGTGCAGTTAATCCCGCTACCCTCTTCTGATGTAGATATATCTTTTTTGACGACCCTGAATCCTTTCTGGAGATCAGTCTGAAGATCTGCCTGAGGATCGGCCTGAAGACCTGCCTGAATATCTGCATGATCTAGATGAGGGTCTCGTTGATAGCTCTTGACCTGGCTAGGCCGAAGAAGGTTCATCTGGTTACTGTGTCTAACTGTGAGACAGGGTCGATAGGTGGAATCGTGAGTGTGTCTATATCATCATTCAACATCAAGTACGAGAGTGCTTCATTGGCCTCCTTAGAGGGTGATGCAAATTCCAAACCGTTGGCCATCCATGACTTGATTTCAGAGTGGGAAAAAAGAAAAAATAATTATGCCGTCATCTTCCGATTTAGCAGTATCATGCTCTGAGGATTGATGTTTCCTAGTGTCTGGAGATCTGTAAGGCCATCTGTATGAAGATCTATGTGGTGATCTGCGTGGTGATCTGTATGGAGGCCTGCGTGGTGAGCTTCGTGGCGAACCATACGTTCGCGCGAACCTGCGTTGTAGGTGAACAGCTCTGTTGAGGGTTGGAGTCTTGTGACGAATCTCTGTGCCTTCACGCGGATGTAGATTCTCTTCTCCTTGGTAACGAACCCTTGTGTGCGGGTTCGTGACGAATGTCCGCATCTGAGGTAGATGACAATCTGCGTGGGTTCGGCGAACGTCTTGTCCTTGAGTGTTCGCTGAACGTAACTGGTGTAGGCTCTACGTTGGTAGGACTGCCAGACCTTGCGGACGTTGTAGTCATGCTTGCGTGCAGGTTCGTGACGAACGTCCGTATCTGACGTCGATGGTGATCTACGTGGGTTAGGCGAACGTCTAGTCCTTCCGCCGAACATAGTTGGTGCAGGTTCCACGTTGGTATGGCGGCCAGATATTCGTGCGGACGCTGTAGTCGAGCTGGAATCTTCCTGTATGCTCTGCAGGACGTTGGTTCCCAACGGACGTGGTGTGCTGCTCAGTTGACCTTCACTCTGGTTCGTCGCAGACGTCGTCTTCATCGCAGCTCTCTCGCGTGAAAACCGTTGTTCCATCAGGTCCAACATCTGCTGCATAAAGATGCCTGGGTTGAAAGTCTGCGTTGTGTGTTGTACTGACGACGCATCTGAGACGGATGAGGCTTCTTCCGAAGGGCGTTGATCCTTCGTGCCAAACGTCTCCGTTGATAGGTTGTCCTGCGTGGTCACTGTAGAAGACATCTTCGTCTTCTTCTTAGATGTGATCTCAGGGATGAAGATGGGCGGCTCATCGTAGACATCTACTTCTTCCAGAGGGACGATCTCAGCTGAAGAGGACCTCGCCTTCTGCTTTGCCCCGTGTGGAGACTTCGCCGAAGTCTTCGTTGTAGCTGCCTTCTTCCTCTAGGAAGATGATGCCCTAGTCTTCTTAGACTGTGAAGAAGGTGTCTCAGATGTAGATGACCTCTTCCTCGAGCCAGCGTTGTCTATGGCGGCAACCTCCTCCGTAGACGACCCCGGTAGACCACTGGAATGGTGTATCTGCGCAGACACCAACTGCCGGTCCTCTGCAAGCTTAGCCGGCTTAGACATGTCGTGTAATTCTCGTCTGGACTTGTCCTTGGCACGTCTAGACAGATAACATGAATATTTATAAAATGCAATATCAGACAGATGAAGACACAACTGACAACAAGTGTCAGATAAACATATAGGCTTGCAATTAGGACATAGGTTATGCGGATCAACAGCAGACAAACGATACCTACAACCAGAACAAGATTTCATCAATTGTAAACAATGTGAATAATCACGTAAAAACGTGACAAAAACGGAGAAATTTGAGAATTAATTCCGTAAAATATTGTAGGTAAATGTTAACTAAAGCCTTATACAGCTAATTTAGAAGAAATGCCTAAATAATAAAAGGATATAAAGCCGTATAGGGGACCAGGTGCTCTTACAACCACCCACTCGGGCGAATCAGGAGAGAGTGAAGAGCATTGGAGACGGGTGGCGCCGTTTCCCGCCAAAACCTAGCAAGGGAGGTGACTCCTGGTAAGTGATTTTATGTCCGCTTTTTTGAAGGGAGCTTCAAAAGGGGATTCAAGTGTTCCACTAGCATTCGGAAGGAAAGGGAGACAAGCAATAAGCATGAGTCAGGATAAGGAAAAATTATGTTTTTACAATCGATAATCATTTTAAATCCTTCTTTCGATCGATTTTCAATTTTTTCGATCATCGGAACATGGACCAGACAATCCAGTGATCAACATCATGAGCATCGATCGGTGCAACTGGGATACGATGACATGTGTCAACCAAGTCAATGAGCCTGATCACCTGGTCCCATTAGTCGATCTCCCACAACAAGCATCAGTTGCTGAAGACCAATTCTAACCAAGATCTTTCACAGGTCTCGCCTCTTATGACAAGCATGGGCTGCTGAAGAAAGTTTTAACCCGGCTCTTCCTGGGTATCGTATTAAAAAGAACACATCATTGCATTTTCAGTTAAACACTGTTGTGTCACAGCTACAGGGATCTATGTAACTGGTTTGAGTTATCTGAGGTTTCACACAAATGTAAAATTAAGACACAAGAAGGAATACTTTGGACCAAGCTTTTAACTCGTGTTCAGTGTTTGATACAACAGACTTTGACTGAGTGTAGTTACATCTCGATAATCTGTGACTTACCAAGCCGTCTCCATCCCAGGCCAACGTGACGAGCAATATTTAGCAGTTCCTCATTGCTGATCTCTCTCTCACACCCTGTGGAGTAGGACAATATCACATTTATACCATCGACTTAGTACTGGTCTCTCATACCCTGTGGAACAGGACAATAATACATTTATACCATCATCTTAGTACTGTTCTCCCATACCCTGTGGAGCAGGACAATATCACATATATACCATCATCTTAGTACTGATCTCTCATGCCCTGTGGAGTAGGACAACATCACATATATACCATCATCTTAGTCACCTAGTGGAGTAGGATAACATCACATATATACCACCATCTTAGTACTGTTCTTTCACACCCTGTGGAGCAGGACAATATCACACATATACCATCATCTTAGTACTGATCTCTCATACCCTGTGGAGTAGGACAACATCACATATATACCATCATCTTAGTACTGGTGTCTCATACCCTGTGGAGCAGGACAATATCACATATATACCATCATCTTAGTACTGGTGTCTCATACCCTGTGGAGCAGGACAATATCACATATATACCATCGACTTAGTACTGGTCTCTCATACCCTGTGGAACAGGACAATAATACATTTATACCATCATCTTAGTACTGTTCTCCCATACCCTGTGGAGCAGGACAATATCACATATATACCATCATCTTAGTACTGCTCTCTCATACCCTGTGGAGTAGGACAACATCACATATATACCACCATCTTAGTACTGTTCTCTCACACCCTGTGAAGCAGGACAATATCACATATATACCATCATCTTAGTACTGATCTCTCATGCCCTGTGAAGTAGGGCAACATCACATATATACCACCATCATAGTACTGTTCTCTCACACCCTGTGGAGCAGGACAATATCACATATATACCATCATCTTAGTACTGATCTCTCATACCCTGTGGAGCAGTACAATATCACATATATACCATCATCTTAGTTACCTAGTGGAGTAGGACAACATCACATACATACCATCATCTTAGTACTGGTGTCTCATACCCTGTGGAGCAGGACAATATCACATATATACCATCATCTTAGTACTGGTGTCTCATACCCTGTGGAGCAGGACAATATCACATATATACCATCATCTTAGTTACCTAGTGGAGTAGGACAACATCACATATATACCACCATCTTAGTACTGTTCTCTCACACCCTGTGGAGCAGGACAATATCACACATATACCATCATCTTAGTACTGATCTCTCATACCCTGTGGAGCAGGACAATATCACATATATACCATCATCTTAGTACTGATCTCTCAAGTCCTGTGGAATAGGACAACATCACATATATACCACCATCTTAGTACTGTTCTCTCACACCATGTGGAGCAGGACAATATCACACATATACCATCATCTTAGTACTGGTGTCTCATACCCTGTGGAGCAGGACAATATCACATATATACCATCATCTTAGTCACCTAGTGGAGTAGGACAACATCACATATATACCATCATCTTAGTACTGGAGTCTCATACCCTGTGGAGCAGGACAATATCACATATATACCATCATCTTAGTACTGGTGTCTCATACCCTGTGGAACAGGACAATAATACATTTATACCATCATCTTAGTACTGTTCTCCCATACCCTGTGGAGCAGGACAAAATCACATATATACCACCATCTTAGTACTGTTTTCTCACACCCTGTGAAGCAGGACAATATCACATATATACCATCATCTTAGTACTGATCTCTCATGCCCTGTGGAGCAGGACAATATCACATATATACCATCATCTTAGTCACCTAGTGGAGTAGGACAACATCACATATATACCATCATCTTAGTTCTGATCTCTCATGCCCTGTGGAGTAGGACAATATCACATATATACCATCATCTTAGTTCTGATCTCTCATGCCCTGTGGAGTAGGACAACATCACATATATACCACCATCTTAGTACTGTTCTCTCACACCCTGTGGAGCAGGACAATATCACACATATACCATCATCTTAGTACTGGTGTCTCATACCCTGTGGAACAGGACAATAATACATTTATACCATCATCTAAGTCACCTAGTGGAGTAGGACAACATCACAAATATACCACCATCTTAGTACTGGTGTCTCATACCCTGTGGAGCAGGACAATATCACATATATACCATCATCTTAGTACTGGTGTCTCATACCCTGTGGAACAGGACAATAATACATTTATACCATCATCTTAGTACTGTTCTCCCATACCCTGTGGAGCAGGACAATATCACATATATACCACCATCTTAGTACTGTTCTCTCACACCCTGTGAAGCAGGACAATATCACATATATACCATCATCTTAGTACTGATCTCTCATGCCCTGTGGAGCAGGACAATATCACATATATACCATCATCTTAGTCACCTAGTGGAGTAGGACAACATCACATATATACCATCATCTTAGTACTGGTGTCTCATACCCTGTGGAGCAGGACAATATCAAATATATACCATCATCTTAGTACTGTTCTCTCACACCCTGTGGAGCAGGACAATATCACATATATACCATCATCTTAGTTCTGATCTCTCATGCCCTGTGGAGTAGGACAACATCACATATATACCACCATCTTAGTACTGTTCTCTCACACCCTGTGGAGCAGGACAATATCACACATATACCATCATCTTAGTACTGATCTCTCATACCCTGTGGAGCAGGACAATATCACATATATACCATCATCTAAGTCACCTAGTGGAGTAGGACAACATCACAAATATACCACCATCTTAGTACTGTTCTTTCACACCCTGTGGAGCAGGACAATATCACACATATACCATCATCTTAGTACTGATCTCTCATACCCTGTGGAGTAGGACAACATCACATATATACCATCATCTTAGTACTGGTGTCTCATACCCTGTGGAGCAGAACAATATCACATATATACCATCATCTTAGTACTGGTGTCTCATAACCCTGTGGAGCAGGACAATATCACATATATACCATCTAACTTAGTACTGGTCTTCTCATACCCTGTGCAACAGGACAATAATACATTTATACCATCATCTTAGTACTGTTCTCCCATACCCTGTGGAGCAGGACAATATCACATATATACCATCATCTTAGTACTGCTCTCTCATACCCTGTGGAGTAGGACAACATCACATATATATACCATCATCTTAGTACTGGTGTCTCATACCCTGTGGAGCAGGACATTATCAAATATATACCATCATCTTAGTACTGTTCTCTCACACCCTGTGGAGCAGGACAATATCACATATATACCATCATCTTAGTTCTGATCTCTCATGCCCTGTGGAGTAGGACAACATCACATATATACCACCATCTTAGTACTGTTCTCTCACACCCTGTGGAGCAGGACAATATCACACATATACCACCATCTTAGTACTGGTGTCTCATACCCTGTGGAGCAGGACAATATCACATATATACCATCATCTTAGTACTGGTGTCTCATACCCTGTGGAACAGGACAATAATACATTTATACCATCATCTTAGTACTGTTCTCCCATACCCTGTGGCACAGGACAATATCACATATATACCACCATCTTAGTACTGTTCTCTCACACCCTGTGAAGCAGGACAATATCACATATATACCATCATCTTAGTACTGATCTCTCATGCCCTGTGGAGCAGGACAATATCACATATATACCATCATCTTAGTCACCTAGTGGAGTAGGACAACATCACATATATACCATCATCTTAGTACTGGTGTCTCATACCCTGTGGAGCAGGACAATATCACATATATACCACCATCTTAGTACTGTTCTCTCACACCCTGTGAAGCAGGACAATATCACATATATACCATCATCTTAGTACTGATCTCTCATGCCCTGTGGAGCAGGACAATATCACATATATACCATCATCTTAGTCACCTAGTGGAGTAGGACAACATCACATATATACCATCATCTTAGTACTGGTGTCTCATACCCTGTGGAGCAGGACAATATCAAATATATACCATCATCTTAGTACTGATCTCTCATGCCCTGTGGAGTAGGACAACATCACAAATATACCACCATCTTAGTACTGTTCTTTCACACCCTGTGGAGCAGGACAATATCACACATATACCATCATCTTAGTACTGATCTCTCATACCCTGTGGAGTAGGACAACATCACATATATACCATCATCTTAGTACTGGTGTCTCATACCCTGTGGAGCAGGACAATATCACATATATACCATCATCTTAGTACTGGTGTCTCATACCCTGTGGAGCAGGACAATATCACATATATACCATCCACTTAGTACTGGTCTCTCATACCCTGTGGAACAGGACAATAATACATTTATACCATCATCTTAGTACTTTTCTCCCATACCCTGTGGAGCAGGACAATATCACATATATACCATCATCTTAGTACTGCTCTCTCATACCCTGTGGAGTAGGACAACATCACATATATACCACCATCTTAGTACTGTTCTCTCACACCCTGTGAAGCAGGACAATATCACGTATATACCATCATCTTAGTACTGATCTCTCATGCCCTGTGAAGTAGGGCAACATCACATATATACCACCATCATAGTACTGTTCTCTCACACCCTGTGGAGCAGGACAACATCACATACATACCATCATCTTAGTACTGGTGTCTCATACCCTGTGGAGCAGGACAATATCACATATATACCATCATCTTAGTACTGGTGTCTCATACCCTGTGGAGCAGGACAATATCACATATATACCATCATCTTAGTTACCTAGTGGAGTAGGACAACATCACATATATACCACCATCTTAGTACTGTTCTCTCACACCCTGTGGAGCAGGACAATCACACATATACCATCATCTTAGTACTGATCTCTCATACCCTGTGGAGCAGGACAATATCACATATATACCATCATCTTAGTACTGATCTCTCAAGCCCTGTGGAATAGGACAACATCACATATATACCACCATCTTAGTACTGTTCTCTCACACACTGTGGAGCAGGACAATATCACACATATACCATCATCTTAGTACTGGTGTCTCATACCCTGTGGAGCAGGACAATATCACATATATACCATCATCTTAGTCACCTAGTGGAGTAGGACAACATCACATATATACCATCATCGTGGTACTGGTGTCTCATACCCTGTGGAGCAGGACAATATCACATATATACCATCATCTTAGTACTGGTGTCTCATACCCTGTGGAGCAGGACAATATCACATATATACCATCGACTTAGTACTGGTCTCTCATACCCTGTGGAACAGGACAATAATACATTTATACCATCATCTTAGTACTGTTCTCCCATACCCTGTGGAGCAGGACAATATCACATATATACCATCATCTTAGTACTGCTCTCTCATACCCTGTGGAGTAGGACAACATCACATATATACCACCATCTTAGTACTGTTCTCTCACACCCTGTGAAGCAGGACAATATCATATATACCATCATCTTAGTACTGATCTCTCATGCCCTGTGAAGTAGGGCAACATCACATATATACCACCATCATAGTACTGTTCTCTCACACCCTGTGGAGCAGGACAATATCACATATATACCATCATCTTAGTACTGAACTCTCATACCCTGTGGAGCAAGACAATATCACATATATACCATCATCTTAGTACTGATCTCTCATACCCTGTGAAGCAGGACAATATCACATATATACCATCATCTTAGTACTGATCTCTCATACCCTGTGGAGCAGGACAATATCACATATATACCATCATCTTAGTACTGATCTCTCATACCCTGTGGAGCAGGACAATATCACATATATACCATCATCTTAGTACTGATCTCTCATACCCTGTGGAGCAGGACAATATCACACATATACCATCATCTTAGTACTGATCTCTCATACCCTGTGGAGCAGGACAATATCACATATATACCATCATCTTAGTCACCTAGTGGAGTAGGACAACATCACATATATACCACCATCTTAGTACTGTTCTCCCACACCCTGTGGAGTAGGACAATATCACATATATACCATCATCTTAGTACTGATGTCTCATACCCTGTGGAGCAGGACAATATCACATATATACCATCATCTTAGTACTGGTGTCTCACACCCTGTGGAGCAGGACAATATCACATATATACCATCATCTTAGTACTGATCTCTCATACCCTGTGGAGCAGGACAATATCACATATATACCATCATCTTAGTACTGATCTCTCATACCCTGTGGAACAGGACAATATCACATATATACCATCATCTTAGTACTGATGTCTCACACCCTGTGGAGCAGGACAATATCACATAAATACCATCATCTTAGTACTGATCTCTCATACCCTGTGGAACAGGACAATATCACATATATACCATCATCTTAGTACTGATGTCTCACACCCTGTTGAGCAGGACAATATCACATATATGCCATCATCTTAGTACTGGTGTCTCATACCCTGTGGAGCAGGACAATATCACATATATACCATCATCTTAGTACTGGTGTCTCACACCCTGTGGAGCAGGACAATATCACATATATACCATCATCTTAGTACTGGAACCAGTTGTATCAAACTTTAATGAACCATTAACATGCCATTAAACGTTCATTAACTAATGTATCATTAAATTCTGTTGTACTTAGGTTTTAATGACGTCGTGTTGTCATTAGCGCGTCATTAACTTAATGAAGGTCCTGGGGTATCATTAGAGCGTCATTAAACTTCCTGGAAAAGTGAACACTGCGCCAGAATTTCGTTTGGGCAGCACTGGATCTACCTACAGCTATAAAATTACACAGAAATGTAGAGTATTAAATGTCCTATCTCATGGCATAAACTCAGTTTGAAAGCTAGACACTGCTAAATGTTACCCCTAAGTTTGTTGTGCGTTAAAAACAGTAAATTTATCTGCTTTTTATCAGGCACCAATAAAAGTACTGTGCTACTATATTTTCAATTTGGAATCTTTAAAGAACCACTAAACTTTGTTTTTTGTTACTCTTTTAACCATTACATATGAAAGATTTGTGGTTAGTCTTATGCGGAACACCAAATTTATTCTATAAAAACTTGTGGTTAATTAATACCGAGCATTAAAAGTGGCCAAAAAGTCAGCCTTCGCTTCACTCTCGCCCGCCAACGAAACCACAGACAGGTTACGAACTCTGTCGCCAGAGCACTGCAGTGACGTCATATGAGGAACCATTTTCAGTTAGTTGTATAGAAAATGTGTAGCACGCCATCATTTTGATGATTTTCGACATGAACTTAATTTTACATGACTAATCGTTGCTTTGTCGTCAATTGCTCTCTAGGGTCGGGCGATGGTGTCCCCATGCACAGATTTCCACAGGACCCCGCGAAAGTTAGGTGCTAAATGGGTTATGTTTGTGAGTGCTGGCGAGCGTTGTGGAAGCCTGAAACGATATCTTACTTGTGTTCAGATCCTTCACGGAAGTTAAAGAATCAAAACTACTTACTAGTTGTAGTAAAATATGCATATGATTGATGACCATAAAGATTTTCTATGACACAACTTGTAACATAACGATTTCTTCCTCGAAGTGGGTTGTGGTCGTCAAGTAACAATAATATTGTAAGTAGTATTATATTGACACCCACCTCGCTGCCATGAGAGAAATTGTTATGATATATGCTTATGTCATGCAAAATCCTATTGGCTATCAATAAAATACATATTTTACTACAAGTAGAAAGTAGTTTTGATTTTGTAACTCGGTGAAAACAAACCTAAATAGCATTTATCCTCAGACTGGCGGATGTTCCGACAGGGCGCTGCCATTTTCAAAATAAAAATCTGTTAGAATTAATGAGATTATAGTTTGTTTTCATCAAGTTAGAAAATCAAGACTACTTTCTACTGCTTGTTAAATATGTATTGGAATCATAACCAAAAGGATTTTGCATGACACAACTTATAACATAACGATTTCTTCCACGGAAGCCGCAGGTGGGGGTCAAGTCACAATACTGCGCGATAAATTTCTTGCTACATTCCCATGGTTAATGTCCACTCACCAGTATGTAGATACTAGTCAATGTGCGCCTTTATATTTGGTCTTATAATCCTAATTAGTTTATTATCACACTTGTATGCATTTTGAAACTAAATAAAAAGCAGACGATCTGCTGATACTTATAGTGAATTTATAACAGAACTGTAATATCTAGACATTTTATAGTTTGCCAATGTGAATCATAATTCGCACACACACCCTAGTGCATGTTGTCTGTCTCTCATTACACTTCACGGCGAAAACAATGATTCTGTTGAATGCTACGACAAATGAATAAAAACAAAATGCAAATATTAAAATTAAAACAGATTAAAGTTATAGGAACAATATCAGGCCATTACCTTGTTCGAGGAATGTATCCATCAATATCCACAAAACTGTTCCAAATGATGTCTTTTAACAGTTTAATATAATAAAAGTGATAAATCTTTTCAGGTATTGGTGTATAGTCTCATTGGTCACCCAAGATAGCACACCTGGAACTAATTGCATAATGTCCGCCTTTCTTTAAAAACAGTAATTTAGTTAGTCAATAATGGGCAATCAATCAATGTATTGCCGGTTAATCCTTTGAAAGAAGGACGTTGTTTTTACGCAGACACCGACACACGACAGAGTGTATTCAGTGTAGATTAGTAAATCTACATACATAAACACTACCTTTTGACAATTCCGCTGTGTAAGATATAAGTAATTAATCAATCAGCGTGTTATCGGTTAATCCTTTGATCGATGTTTATAATGTTGAATATTTACTCCAGATACAAGAAATGCCAAATGGGAACCTTTGTCGGTAATCTAAGTGTGTTACCACTAATTATACCTGTTATAAATTCATTAACTGACCATCAAGTGAATGATGACAAATAACATGTGTAGGTTTATACCACCTAACACGGGTTACAACAAGGAGTATTAATTGCTGTATTGCATGTGAAAACTTATGGGCCGACACTGTTTTGAGAATACAAACAGATATTTACATGACATGATTAAATATCGAGGTAAAACAACACAGAAATGGGATCAATTTGGATCAGTCATTATACAAATAGGGCCTAACGACACCAATTGATTTTGACAGAATCGTCTATGAAAACAAGTTGTAACTCGGAAACTAGGCAAAGCAGGAGACAAATTTAAATGACAGTAGATTGTGAGAACATATAGCTTTCATTTTCCACAACAATTGTCACGATTTCAGGTTTATACAAACCTGTAAACAAGATAATTTACCCCGTAAAATGTAGATGAATTCTGCATCGGCTCTCAAAGCTATTCCTCATATGACGTCACAGAGGCGCGCCGCTCTGATTAGTTGAAATTTCGTTCGCGGGTGAGAATTGTGCACTGTTGTCAAAAAGGTCGATTTAAGTCAATTAAAGGTCGAAATGAGTAGTTTTAATGACGGGGTTTCATTTATAACGATGCCAGTTAGTGATTTATGTATTTGTACCCCCTAGGGTTTATGTGACCTTTAAGGAAAGTATGAGCGAACAAAATTCTGCCTGATACCTGAACAACATAGGTATGTTATAAATTAGTTTGTGTGCCTATGTTAAACGTTATACACTCAATCTTAAAAATGACTCGCAATATGTGTTGAAAATGGAATTTCCCCTATGACGTCAAATGGCTACAAAAAGGTCATACGCTTATAAAGATAAGGGGGCATCACTCCGCTATGCTTAATACTAAGTCATTGTAACTCAGATCACTTGGAGAGAATTTCTGTGAATAAGGACACTACATGTTCGTGATGTTTTGTTCACGGAATTATCGAAAAAAAATAATACTCAAAGTATTTGTGACAAACGCGCACCTGGCCAATGATTATACGCCATTGTTTTGTCTATACCACAGCATAAACAAATTCAATGCACAAGACATATCCTTTAAAAACGTGTGCATATATACATTTCATGAAATAAATAAATCATTTTTATTTATTATGTCAGTTTTAATTAGGTTTAAAATACTAAATGTTGATAGTGAAATTAGTTTCATGAAACCATATGTGAACGGAAACATGTGAAAGTGTAATCCGCAGGACAGTGTGTTTATTCTTATTCAACCGACCTTCACCTCAAAGAAATTGCCAACAATGTTGACGTATGACATCACTACCGATGACCGATTTCTCATAAAATGGCGGCTTTGTGGATATATGTGCCCACGATTTTGTGAGGGAACCTTTGCCAATAAATGTATGATGTAAGTAATCGGAAACATTCTGACTATCTGCGTATGGTTATTTATTTTTATTGTTTTCATTGAAAAAGTCAGAAATGCCGATAATTGCCTATGTCGTGCTCCATGATTTTGCGTCTGGCATGGCGTATCGCTGCACATGAATATATCAAATTTTTGTATTGTATCTGTTTTAATTTTCTAGTTCTTGCTACTTATACTCTTCCGTGGTATATTCTAAAATTATTGAGCTAATGCATGCTACTTAATAGAGAAACTTATGTCCAAAACTTGAGAAAATGCTGCCCAGTATAAAAATCTGATTTTGCTTTGTTTACTTTTTTTCTAGCAAGCTGTGCTATGAGCACAATGTCTAAGCCACACCCAATACGCTTTTGTTTTTTTTCTGGACACTTAGTTTTAGTGACAAAGACCATTTGTAAGTTGATTCTAAAATGCATGAGGAATTCAGCGATGCATTTGTCACAACTGAATATGAAATATACGTGATGTAATAGGCGTCATATGACAGGCCTTAGCGAAACTTGATTTTGTAAACCCTATTCAATATGGCGGAAAGCTCACTTCGGCGTTCAGAATTATTTAGATGTGTTTCTTCACAGCAATTGAAATGTTCGTTTTGGTTCCGAGGTTTAGCTGTAAAGATGCAATTTTGACAGACGACCGAGAGTAACGCTTAGGGGAATCCCCTAATTTAATGAAAATATTTAAATCAGGACATCATTAGATAATGATACGCTAATAAGTGTTTGATACAACTGTTTTTAATGTTGCCATTAACTAATGATGCATTAAGGATTTAATGTATCATTAGGGTTAAATGTTGACATTAGTTAATGAAGCAATGATACAACCGGATCCAGGTCTCTCACACCCTGTGGAGCAGGGCAATATCACATATATACCATCATCTTAGTACTGGTCTCTCACACCCTGTGGAGCAGGGCAATATCACATATATACCACCATCTTAGTACTGGTCTCTCACACCCTGTGGATCAGGACAATATCAAATAGCCATCATCTTAGTACTGGTGTCTTTTACCTGTGAGCAGGACAATATCACATCAATCAATTAACTGATTCCCGTTTTCCATTGACTTGTGTAACATCGGTAAAATGTGAATTTAAATGGCTTGTATTTTACTGCATTCCATGTGCTATTTCGGCTCAAATTCATGAGGGTCCTTATAATCTTAGTGTTGATAATTAATTTTTAGATAAAAACTGTAATTAAAATTACACAATGCTAGGATATATTTCTTTGGGTTAAATAATAGTATTCTGTATTAAATTTTACTGATGACTGCATCAGAATTTGTCCCGTTATATTATTGTGCATGTTTGAACTTGATTGCCGGGAAACATGTGCACAGCTGATTGCTATTTCTGGCTCAGATACACACGGTAATCTTAATCCCTGCAAACAATACAATGCCCAGCAAAAACAACTTTGAACTTAAAAAGGTAAATAATGTTGTCTAGTGTTGTTTAATTGCAAATTTTGCGCCTGATCTACTGACAATTTGTCCCGTCTTCTGTTGCTTGTTTGAACTTGATTGCCGTGAAACATGTGCATGTTGATTTTCTGACCCCTGGATAAACAGTTTAATCTTGGCTGTAACCCATGGATGCCCAGCAAAACAACTTTCTTACAGGTAAATAATTGCTGTTTTGGGTCCTTAAAATTTGACGGCTCTACTGAGAAGGTAATATATGTTGCTTGATACCATCATCTTAGTACTGGTCTCTCATACCCTGTGGAGCAGGACAATATCACATAATATACCATCATCTACAGTACTGATCTTTCACACCCTGTGGAGCAGGGACAATATCACATATATACCATCATCTTAGTACTGGTCTCTCACACCCTGTGGAGCAGGACATATATACCATCATATATACCATCATCATATATACCATCATCTTAGTACTGGTGTCTCACACCCTGTGGAGCAGGACAATATCACATATATACCATCATCTTAGTACTGGTCTCTCACACCCTGTGGAGCAGGACAATATCACATATATACCATCATCTTAGTACTGGTGTCTCACCCTGTGGAGCAGGACAATATCACATATATACCATCATCTTAGTACTGATCTCTCACACCCTGTGGAGCAGGACAATATCACATATATACCATCATCTTAGTACTGATCTCTCACACCCTGTGGAGCAGGACAATATCACATATATACCATCATCTTAGTACTGATCTCTCACACCCTGTGGAGCAGGACAATATCATACCCGCTGTGTATATATACCATCATCTTAGTACTCTCATACCCTGTGAAGCAGGACAATATCACATATATCATCATCTTAGTACTGGTCTCTCATGGAGCAGGACAATATCACATATATGCCATCATCTTAGTACTGGTCTCTCATACCCTGTGGAGCAGGACAATATCACATATATGCCATCATCTTAGTTCTGATCTCTCACACCCTGTGAAGCAGGACAATATCACATATATGCCATCATCTTAGTTCTGATCTCTCACACCCTGTGGAGCAGGACAATATCACATATATACCATCATCTTAGTACTGATCTCTCACACCCTGTGAAGCAGGACAATATCACATATATACCATCATCTTAGTTCTGATCTCTCATACCCTGTGGAGCAGGACAATATCACATATATACCATCATCTTAGTACTGGTGTCTCACACCCTGTGGAGCAGGACAATATCACATATATACCATCATCTTAGTACTGGTGTCTCACACCCTGTGGAGCAGGACAATATCACATACCCATCATCTTAGTACTGGTGTATATACCATCATCTTAGTACTGGTCTCTCACACCCTGTGGAGCAGGACAATATCACATATATGCCATCATCTTAGTACTGGTGTCTCACACCCTGTGGAGCAGGACAATATCACATATATACCATCATCCTAGTACTGGTGTCTCACACCCTGTGGAGCAGGACAATATCACATATATACCATCATCTTAGTACTGATCTCTCACACCCAGTAAAGCAGGACAATATCACTTATATACCATCTTCTTAGTACTGTTCTCCCACACCATGTGGAGCAGGACAATATCACGTATATAGCATCATCTTAGTACTGTTCTCTCATACCCTGTGAAGCAGGACAATATCACGTATATAGCATCATCTTAGTACTGGTCTCTCATACCCTGTGAAGCAGGACAATATCACTTATATAGCATCATCTTAGTACTGGTGTCTCACACCCTGTGAAGCAGGACAATATCACGTATATACCATCATCTTAGTACTGGTGTCTCACACCCTGTGGAGTAGGACAATATCACTTATATACCATCATCTTAGTACTGGTCTCTACCCTGTGAAGCGGGACACACCATCTTAGTACTGGACCCTGTAGGACAATATCACTTATATAGCATCATCTTAGTACTGGTCTCTCACACCCTGTGAAGCAGGACAATATCACTTATATAGCATCATCTTAGTACTGGTGTCTCACACCCTGTGAAGCAGGACAATATCACATATATACCATCATCTTAGTACTGGTGTCTCACACCATGTGGAGTAGGACAATATCACGTATATACCATCATCTTAGTACTGTTCTCCCACACCATGTGGAGTAGGACAATATCACTTATATAGCATCATCTTAGTACTGTTCTCCCACACCTAGTGGAGCAGGAAAATATCACATATTATACCATCATCTTAGTACTGATCTTTCACACCCTGTAGAGCAAGAAATATCACATTTCTATCATCATCAGGGTTTTACATAGCTCTTCAAAACTGGCAGTCCAGGGGACTCAGGGCATATTTGTGGGGAAGTTCATTTCCAAAATTGGGAGTGCATCAATTTGCATAAAATTGCACATTTAATAATGATTATGTTATAACAAGTGTTACTTTCAATGTCATTAGAATGATTATTATAAACAGAATGTTTATACTTTGATATGGGATATTATTACAAACTCAGAAAGTTCTTTCCCAGAAAAAATAAAATTATATTGCGTCCACAAGGACGCACAGGATTTTTGTTTGGGGGTAATTCATCAGATTTTTGCATCCAATACGCAAGAATCATGTGTCCCGTAAAACCCTGCATCATGTTACTGATCAGTCTCACCCATCCTGTAGAGCAAGAAAATATCACATTTATACCATCAGCTTAGAAATAATATCTCTCATTTTGTAGTTGATGACAATATTATATGTAGAGGACAGTATCAATGTTATATCATCTGAGAACTTATCATTTCATCCCATTCTGTAGACGCTATAATCACACTGATACTATGATCTGACAACTGATCTCTATGTATATAAGGGATCATTCAGTCTAATGCATGTGTATTTTATATGAAACACAGAACATTTCAGTTTCATTGTAACCTACATACTTCTCAATTCCATAATCCGTTCATCTTCAAGTGCGTCCACTTCTTCATCTTCACTGCTGGAAATTATCGTCGCAACCTGGCATATGCTGCCGGCCGAAGTTCATGATGTTGGTGCGACCAATCTGGACGTTGTGGCTGTTCGTGATGTTGAAGATGTTGGCACTGCCATGGTGAAAGTGCTGTTGTCGAAATTGATGAACTGGAACAGGTAAAATATTCAAGGTCAATGTCTTTACGAAAATCTATCCTAAAAACAGATGCCAGTCTCAGGTTTGTTTCCTTACAAAAATTCACTATTTGAAGTTTATTTCTGATGTCGCACATATGGAGTTGTTGGAATATTGGAGAAGGAGGTAAACCCAAAGAGGTATCTCATTACCAACGCAAACCAAAAGCATGAGTGCAAACCAAGTAGCGATTTGGCATCCTCTGATTGGTGAAAAACGCTTTGAGAGTTTCTCAGCACAGTTGTTTGGTTAGTTTGTTGTTTAACGCCACATTCCAGCTATATGGCGGCAGTCAGTAAATAATCGAGTCTCGACCAGACAATCCAGTCATCAGCATTATGAGCATCGATCTATGCAGTTGTCATACAATGACATGTGTCCACAAAGTCAGCAAGCCTGACCATCCGATCCAGTTAGTCGCCACTTACGATATGCAGGGGTTGCTGAAGATCAATTCTTACTTGTCGTAAGAGGTGACTAACAGGATTGGATGGTCAGGCTCGCTGGTGAGTGCGGCATTAAAGGAAAAAAACAACAACCAACAAGTAATCGTTTCAAGCAGACAGAAGTCATGGACATATACCATTTTGAAGGAACCATAGAATGAGTGAGTGAATTTTCTTTTCTGCCGCTTTTAGCAATATTCCAGCAATATCACGGCGGGGGACACCAGAAATGGGCTTCACACATTGTACCCATGTAGGGAATCGAACCCAGGTCTTCGTAGTGATGAGCGAATGCTTTAACCACTGGGCTACCACACTGCCCCCGAGGAACCATAGACTAAGGTATAGCACTGACTAACCAAAGACCAAAGACAAAAGCAGGATTCCAACCCACAATCATTAGGTCCTGATGTGAAGCAACCGTGCCATCTGCCATACATGGGTGGTGAAATTAATGAAACCTGACTCACTGTATGGATTGAACTGCTGAACTGCTATGGGTGGCATCCCTTGCTGAATGTTGCTAGCCATCGCGGTCATAATAAGGCCATCGGTCTCGGTGTCGTATCTGTGGGGGTGGTGGTAGTGGTGGTCTTGGCTACCCTCAGGTCCACAGACTTATTTGGCTCAGGAGGCGGCTTTTCAGCCATTGTGTCTTAAAACAGCTGCAAATAAAGGATGTCAATATAACAGACCAGCTTATTGGAATGTTCCAAAAGAAAATGTCCAGTAGAAAATGCTAGGCCAATGGAGAATGAAAGTGAGAGTGAGTGACTGAGTATGGTTTTACGCCGCTTTTAGCAATATTCCACCAATATCATGGTGGGGGACACCAGAAATGGGCTTCACATAATGTACCCATGTGGGGAATCGAACCTGGGTCTTTGGCGTGACGAGCAAATGCTTCAACCACTAGGCTACCCCACCGCCCCTAGACAGTGGGAGTGAGAGAGAGGGAGACAGAGTGAAAGAGTGAGTAAGCTTAGTAAGGTAGTTTTATGTCACATTCAGCAATATTCCAGCGATATGGCAGCGGTCTGTAAATAACTGAGTCTGGACCAGACAATCCAGTGATCAACAGCATGAGCATCAATCTACACAATTAGAGATAGATTGACAGTGGGGAAATAAAATTTTCACATTATTTCCAAGTGTCTTTGAGCAAAAGAGGTATTTGGGAGACTTTTCACAATGCATGAATACTTAGCTTAAAGATCACATATACTCTAGGGGTACAAATACATAAATCACTAATTGGCATCGTTATAAATGAAACCCCATCATTAAAACTACTCATTTCGATCTTTAATTAACTTAAATCGACCTTTTTGACAACAGTGCACAATTCTCACCCGCTAACGAAATTTCAACCAATCAGAGCGGTGCGTCTCTGTTATGTCATATGAGGAATAGATATGAGAGCCGATGCAGAATTCATCTACATTTCAGGGGGTAAATTATCTTGTTTACAGGTTTGTATAAACCTGAAATCGTGACAACTGTTGTGAAAAATGAAAGCTATATGTTCTCACGATCTACTGTCATTCGACTTTGTCTCCTGCTTTGCCTAGTTTCAGAGTTACAACTTGTTTTCATAGACGATTCTGTAACCCGTGTTAGGTGGTATAAACCTACACGTTATTTGTCATCATTCACTTGATGGTCAGTTATTTAATTTATAACAGGTATAATTAGTGGTAACACACTTAGATTACCCGACAAAGGTTCCCATTTGACATTTCTTGTGTCTGGAGTAAATACTCAACATTATAAACATCGATCAAAGGATCAAAGGATTAACCGATTTGATTAATTACTTTTATCTTACACAGCGTATTTGTCAAGAGGTAGTGTTTGTGTATGTAGATTTACTAATCTATACTGAATACACTCTGTCGTGTCTGTGTTTGCGAAAAAACAACGTCCTTCTTTCAAAGGATTAACCGGCAATACATTGATTGATTGCCCATTATTGGCTAACTAAATTACTGTTTTTAAAGAAAGGCGGACATTATGCAATTAGTTGCCAGGTGTGCTATTTTGGGTGACCAATGAGACTATACACCAATGTGAAATACCTGAAAAGATTTATCACTTTTTCGTATATTAAACTGTTAACAGTTGGAACAGCTGCAGATGAATGGCATATCACTCGTTTTTGTGGATATTGATGGATACATTTCTCGAACAAGGTAATAGCCTGACTGTGTTCCTATAACTTTAATCTGTTTTAATTTTAATATTTGCATTTTGTTTTTATTCATTTGTCGTAGCATTCAACAGAAGTGTAATGAGACAGACAAATATACACTAGGGTGTGTGTGCGAATTATGATTCACATTGGCAAATTATAAAATGTCTAGATATTACAGTTCTGTTATAAATTCACTATAAGTATCAGCAGATCGTCTGCTTTTTACTTAGTTTCAAAATGCATACAAGTATGATAATAAACTAATTAGGATTATAAGACCAAATATAAAGACGCACATTGACTAGTATCTACATATTGGTGAGTGGACATTAACCATGTGAATGTAGCAAGAAATTTATCGCACAGTATTGTGACTTTGACCCCCACCTCGCTTCCGTGGAAGAAATCGTTATGTTATAAGTTGTGTCATGCAAAATCCTTTTGGTTATGATTCCAATACATATTTAACTACGAGTAGAATGTAGTTTTGATTTTCTAACTTGATGAAAACAAACCATAATCTCATTAATTCTAACAGATTTTAGCCCGTCACTTTACGATTTTCAAAAATGGCAGCCCTGTCGCGAACATCCGCAAGTCTGAGGATAAATGCTATTTAGGTTTGTTTTCACCGAGTTACAAAATCAAAACTACTTTCTACTGGTAGTAAAATATGTATTTGATTGATGGCCAATACGATTTTTGCATGACATAGCTTATAACATAACAATTTCTCTCATGGCAGCGGTGGGTGTCAATATAATACTACTTACAATATTATTGTTACGACCACAACCTCGCTTCGAGGAAGAAATCGTTATGTTACAAGTTGTGTCATGGGAAATCTTTATGGTCATCAATCATATACATATTTTACTGCAACTAGTAAGTTGTTTTGATTCTTTAACTTCCATGAAGCGATCTGAACACAAGTAAGATATCGTTTCAGGCTTCCCAACGCGCAAGCCGCACTCACAAACATAACCCATTTAGCACCTAACTGCGGGGTCCTGTGGAAATCTGTGCATGGTGACACCATCGCCCGACCCCTAGGAGCAATTGACGACAAAGCAACGATTCGGCATGTCGTCGTTGATGTCGAGAAATCATCAAAATGATGAGTGTGCTACACACTTTCTATACAACTAACTGAAAATCGTTCCCGATATGACGTCACTGAAGTGCTCTGGCGACAGAGTTACGTAACCTGTCTGTGGTTCAGTGAAGCAGGCGACTTTTTGGCAACTTTTAATCACTCGGTATTAATTAACCACACGTTTTTTAAGAATGAATTTGGTGTTCCGCATAAGTCTACCCACAAATCATTCATATGTAATAGTTGAAAGAGTACAAAAAAACAAAGTTTATTTGTTCTTTAACACACTTAAAAAGTGTTAAATATTTTGCAATACAGCTTAATGATATATTAAGTGTACTTCAACACCACTGATTTTGTTCTTCTTGCACATTATGCTATCCAGGTACGTTAGAGATATGTTCAACTACATGGAAAAGTTCTGGTATATTTGATCTTAGGCAGTCTATGGACTGAGAGAGATATCCTCGCCATGAGGTCAATATGTATCTTAGTGATGTTGTTTACACTTGAGAAACGCTTATGTGTTTTAAATGTTTAAAAAGCAACATGTGTATGCAACAGGTATGTTATAATAATAATAATAATAATAATAATGTATAAAATTTATATAGAGCCCTATTAGACGTGAAGCTACATCACTCTAAGGCGCTTAACAGTCAAATTGGTGGCTATTGAGCCTATTCACACTTGAACAGATAGGTCTTAATGTTCTTTTTGAAGTTGGTGATTGATGTTTCTGTTCTGAGACCGACTGGGAGAGTATTCCATAGGGTACTTGCTGTCTTGTGGAAGCACCTCTCTCCATACCTAGCTGTGTGTTTTCTAGGTACTGTGAGAAGAGAGGCTGACTCAGACCGTAGAGATCGAGTCGGATTATACGGTGTGATGAGTACCTGTAGGTATGCTGGAGCAGTTCCATGCAGGGCCTTGAAAGTGTCATTCTCTTCCCACAGAGATTACTCCTGTCATATCTTCCTACGTGACCTCTGTTCTAATATGGCCCTTTCATGGTGTAATGGTTCAAGACTGGTGATTGGAGGCAATCAGATTTAGTTGTGCAATCAGCGACATTGTTTCAAAAGTGATCATTCGCAAGGCCTCGGTAATTTCCGTATGCTTCGAGAAAACTAAACCTCTTCCCCTGTGCGATGCACAAACGTTTCTTCTAGACAGAACTCAGACATCGCCCTCGTTGACAACGGACAAGCTAGCCATTAAACGTCTTGTTTGTAACATCAACACAAATCCTCGGCAGATGGGGGATATTTTTGGCCCCACATTTGCTTGTGTTAGTCAAGTTGAATCCAAGTCGATGTGACACCTGTTCTGATTGGATAGAAAGAAGGGAGATAATTTGTTTTGCGATCTTTTGCCGCTAGGGGATTTTACGAGAACCGGGAAATATGGCCGTATTAGAACAGAGGTTCGTAGGAAGATATGACAAGTAACCTCTGTGGGAAGAGAATGTGAAGGTGTAAGTTAATATTTTATACTGACAACGGAGGTGTACTGGTAGCCAGTGCAGGGCTTGGCGAGCTTCCGTCACGTGTTCCCATTTCCTGGAACGGGTGATGAGTCTCACAGAGGCATTCTGGACTCTCTGTAGTCTGCGCATGAGAGACTTGGGTATTCCTGCAAATAGTGCATTCCCATAGTCCAGGCGTGATGTAACCAGAGAATGGACCAGCTTCTTACAGGTTTCTTCATCAATGTATTTTCTAATCTTGCTGATGTTTCTGATCTGGTAGAAACATGATCTAGAGACAGCATTTACTTGTCTTTCCATACTAAGGAATTTGTCTAAATAAACACCAAGGTTCTTCACTTCATCAGTGGTGTGGATGTTGTGGGCACCAACATGGAGTTCCAGATCACGGTGAACATGAATTTGGTTTTTGGATTTGAAAACAATCAATTCTGTTTTGTCCTGGTTTAATTTCAGCGTGTTGGCAGCTTGTTGTCTTGAGGATGTATGACCTTGTAGACTTCCATGTCATCTGCATATCCACTGAGTGGTTTGGAGAACAGACAATATAGGACCGGGCCTAAAACAGATCCCTGAGGAACTCCAAAGCTGAGAAGCTTTTCCTCTGACACCACAGAACCTACTGTGATGCACTGACATGTATGATCTTAACCATGAGAGAGCTCCTCCTGATATGCCATAGCTGAACTGTAGTCGGTCAAACAATATGCTGTGGTCAATCAGATCAAAAGCTGCTGATTGGTCGAGCACTACTAATGCCACCGAACATTTGTTGTCCAATGGTTCAGCAGCATCATGGTGTACGGGGAGCTAAGCTGTTTCTGTTGAATGTCCAATACGGTACGCTGATTGGAACTTGTCCTGGAGATGCTGAGCTTCTAGGTGACATTGCAGGCGGAAAGAAACAACTTTTTCCAGGATCTTGGAGAGGAGCGGTAAGTTCGATACGGGTCGATAGTTCTTCATGGATTCCTTGTCCATTTTTGTCTTTTTGATCAGTGGTCTTACTAAAGCTTTCTTGAAGCAGGTAGGAACCTGTGAAGTGAGCAATGACTTGTTGATGATTGCAGTTACAGAGGCAGAACATATTCAATGCATTGCTTGAGAAGATATGGGGAGTGGATCCAGTTCGCAGGATTTTGTTGGAGCTTTCATGATTATTTTTCGAACTTCATCCTGAGAAGTATGAGTGAAATTTATCAGATGTTCACCATCGAACTCCACATCTGCTCCCATCACTGATCTCATGGTAGCACCCTCACTTGAGGAAGAGATGCCGTTCCTGATTGTAGCAACCTTAGTGGCAAAGAAGTCACTAAACTTGTTAGCTGATGAATCCTCAGAAACACTACTGAGTAGAGTTATATCTCCGCTCTGCCCCAATAGTTGTTTGGTAAGTTTGAACAGCTGTCTGTTATCTGTGGAATTGTCATTGATCTTCTCACTTAAAAAGTCTTTTTAAGTCTTGATAAGAAGTTTGCCCACAATTCTACATTGTTATTTAAAGATCTGGTGATGAACGCAGAGTTTGGTCCTGCGCCATCTTCTCTCCGCTTTTTGACGAGCATGTTTGGCTTGTCTGAGTTCGTCCGTATACCACGGTGCATGTGGTGTGAGTGTAATTAGCTTTGTCTGAAGAGGGGCTTGTTTATTGATGAGAGACTTAAAACCAGTGTTGTAGGCCCGGACTAGCTCATCAAGTGTACCGTCAGTGCGCTGCAGATCATATGATGCCTTAATGTCATCTATGAAGTCTGGCACAGATATAGCACTGTATTTTCGGAAACTAACTTCATGTTGTGTTGGTTTTGGTTTACTACAGTTCAGAGAACACTGCACAGCTTGGTGATCTCCTGATGTGTTGCCTTTATTGTCAGTGAAACATGGATGAACTATTGAAGGTGAACCATTCAACACACGACTGTCTTCTCTAGTGATCAACACATCCAGCGTATGTCCATGAACATGTGTTGGTCCTTGACTGACTGACTGAGTTTGGTTTTACGCCGCTTTTAGCAATATTCCAGCAACATCACGGCATTGTTGGTCCTTGAACAAGCTGTATGAGGCCATGAGCATCAAGTATTCCAAGTAAACTGCGTGCATCCGTGTTTGAGGGATCATCGAGATGGAAGTTAAGATCACCGCTTATCACAATTTCTTGTGGGTTCGATGCTAGATGACCTAAATATGTTGACCACTCTGCAAAGAATATGTCGTTCTTAAAGCCAGTTTTCTTGGAAAGTGGAGGGCGGTATATCACACACAGAATAAACTGCATGACATTGTACCTAATAGAGCATTCAATATGCTCAAAGTGAGGGAAAGTTTCATCATCAGGTATAAAGGTAGTTTTATTTACAACCAGTTGATTTCTGTGCACCACAGCTACACCCCCACCACGTTTGCCTATGGCGGGGATACCGGTATGCAGTATAGAGTAGCCTTTGGGAACAAGTTCGGACATCACCTGACTATCAACTGTGCTACCAAGCCAAGTTTCAGTTACAGCCAAGACATCAATGTCATGGGATGTTATCATATCAGCAATAGACAGACTTTTGTTCTTGACAGAGCGACAGTTGACACAGAAATATGTTAGAGGGATGCTACATTTGGAAACAGTGTCTGTGTTGGTCGGTTTGATTGACAACAGATTGTCTAAGTTTGCACCTTTTTACGTTTCACAGCTCTTGCCTTGTGAAGGTTTTTAATTTTTCTCCCAGCCCTGCAGCCTCTTTTCTTAAATTTTCTCTTTATGTGAAAAGTGTTGAGAAGATCATTTATGTAATCGAATTGCATGCTGACAACTTTACCCTTGGGTCTGAATGACATAAGCTGTTCCCTTGTGTAGGTGATTGACTGCTGATTGGATTCCATTGTCTTCGACCTGTGTGTTGGCAATGCTGGGTTCCTGGCTTGGGTGTTACATAACACAGGGGTTGAAATATCTACGATATTTGTACATACAATACATAGAAAAGTCAACAAAATCCACATTTTCCTCATCGAAAAATAGTATCTGCTTCGGTAGTGTGTATCTTTGATCCCTTATGTACGTCCATGCAAAGTTGTATGTTTCAAACCAACTTCAAACTTCTGTAGTTTGTCAAAATAGCTCAGAGCTCAAGTGACGTGCCGCTACCAAGCGCAGAGTCATTACATATATATATCACAGAAGTATGTGACACCATCCATTTTACGAAATGAGAGATCACACACACCGCAAACAATACTGAATATTAAAGATAATGTTACAAGATGTGGGGGCGTAGAGCCCACGAGAGGAGAGCGAGGACACAGATATCCATGTCTATTCCACTAAAAGACGGATCAAGCCGTGACAGCATCTTGTTATATGGATCACCCTTAACCTGACTATACCACATATTGTAACCGATAACTTTTGTATTTTACATTAATCATTTCCACATTTTAAATCCCTGACTTAAAACTGCCATTTTCAAATGAAGTTTCAGGCAGAAGTTTCTCAAAAAACACCAGCAAATCTGAAAACACATATTACTTATCTCTAAGGGACTGTTTATATGTTATGAGTGAGTGAGTGGGGGTCACCCATCTTGTTCTGGGGAGGTAGGGGGGGTAATCAATTTTGTACACATGTACAAGGGGACGCGACATTGATTTTGTACATGACATGCAAGGGGTCATTTACTTTGTAAACAAATTTTAGGGGCAGTCATTCACATAGTACATGCTTCTCCATAAAATTCATCACTCCCCTAGCCATAAATTTTGAACGGTCCCTTAATTCCAAACTCAACATGACTCTTGTAATGAAACCTTTTATAAATAAACACGTTCAACTGACAAAAACAAGGTTTTACATTTACCCTGACTTCTAGAACAGGGAAATTCTTGATAATTAGTTTTAAAGTTTCTTATAAGAAACATGAGGGTCGTGTAAAAAAATGAAATGATGTACTGTACAGTAAGATTTGAAAATTATTTTCCTTACAGGACCTTCATATTCCATTTATATTTTCTTATCACATCAGATGCTCTGCAGTGGACCAGTTTTAAAAAATTGCCACTGAGAATAGTTTAACTTTAAAACTAACTCTGCTGAACTGATTTTCAAGTGAGATTTACTTATGTTCAATGTATGAAAATAATGTTAGTTTTGCTTTCTACTTTTATACCAGTGTCATGTCATTTTCCCATAAGCAGACTTGTTAACCCTCAAAATACCTAAGTGTTTTTTAAATTACAAAACAACAATCTCTGTGGTTTCACACCGCTTTTAGCTATATACCAGCAATATCATGGCGAGGCACACCAGAAATGGGCTTCACACATTGTACCAATGTTGGGAATCGAACCCGGGTCTTCGGCATGACGAGCGAACACTTTAACCACTAGGCTACCCCAACGCCGCATGTAGCTCGCTGCTGCTGACCAATAAAGGAAGTAACCTCACTATCACTGTACTTGTTTGTAGGCTATTTGTGTCGGTGACTTTCCAAGGTGACAGTGGTCTATAAATATTTGAGTCTGGAACAACCCAGTCATTGACCTTACAGATCTAATTTATTAATATCACTATTATTATTATTGGGATACAAAAACATGCAACAACAGAGTCTGTGAGTCTGACCAACCGATCCCATCCCCTCTTACAACAGCATGAGTTGCTGAAGACCAATTTTCATCCGGATCTTCAAGGATCTAAAATAATTGTAATGTGCTTAATAAACAAAATGAAACATTGCAATGGGACAACACAAAATAATGTTGCATATTTTTTTATATGTCGCTTGATTTTAATTTTGGTTTTAAACTACCCTAAACGATGTTTTCATGTGTGCACAAACAGCAAATACCACTGAAAATATACAGTGTTGCGATACTATTACTAATTTTGGGTTTGTCAGATGTGTGCTATATTTGGCTACTTTATCTACTTATCGTACAGTTATCATGGTTATCAACTGGTCACATACTTTTATATTGAAAACCTTTAGTTTTCTGAAAAACTAACCCATTTAAATATGGCAATTTGTCTCAAATGATGAATCACCCACATAAACATGAACGAACCGAACAACACAAAATAAAGAAACACAGTCATATAGCTGAAAAATTGATGAGTGCTCTGATAATTATTTTTTTTAAAATTGGACATATTTGCAATATACATTTAAGTTGTAACATGTCACATTACAAATACAATACCAACAAATGTAAACAGAGATTTTTCTTATTTATCGCCTAGTTTGTATCACATGCCATGGTATAATTCAGTATAACATGAGACGTGGTAGAACAGTGTAAAACATACTTACCTATTTCAACCGACGACGTAACAATGTTAAAATATTAACTTAATATTAATAAATTTGTTAACCAGGCACATTTGATGGGATTGAAAACGAAAGTACGATTTTCAATGCCAAAAATAACTAAATTACAGCCACGTTAATAAACTGTTGACTTCTTGATCACGGAGGACCCCAAGTGTTTGACCAAAACAGCTATGTGTGCAGCCGTGTGTTTTCAAAACGTGACATTATCAGTTGATTACACATTGGGAAAATACCTTCCTCAAAATTTCCAAGTTGCCAAGTCTCGCCCACGTCTCGCCTATCGGAAATCTCCAGAACTACTTCCGCACTTCCAACTGGTCAAATGGGGTCAAACATGTGAGATGAATAAATGACAATATATTCATAAACTAAATTGACACTGTATAAAAACGTTATAAAATTAACACCTTTTCTGAATTATTTTTACCGAAAACGCTTGTTTTCTGAAAAACTTCACTTCCGCGGGGAACCACCGTTTGGGAGTTACTGTTATAGTCTGTTTTAATATTTGAAACCTCCACTCGCGTTTGGGATACTGACAAATGATAACAAAGTCTCTTTCACGAGTTTTATTGAGCACATTATCTATAGACCAAGGTCAGTCTCCTATCATCACGTAGAAAACAGTTCTTCGTCAGTCTGCCTCGTCTTAATCGCAACCCAGTATTTTGAATAAAACATTATTGTATAAAGGGAGGTAATAATAGTAAACATCCGGGGGGAATCCCCAGAATTACTCACTGACGTGGGGATGAGGTTTTTCACAATGTATTAATTTAGCGTTAATTTAAGGTTACTGAAGATTTCGAGAACATGTGCACTACAATATTGCAGTTATATTCACAGAATAAATCAAAGGTATGAACCGACTTTCTAAAATGTATCCCGATTAGCCATTTTCAACAATAAACCAACATTTTACCAAACAGTTATTACTGTGTGGCTTTGTGTAAACATTTTTACTTATCTAATCATGATTGTCCACAAGATTTCATATTTATACATTCAATTTTGATGTGTTGAATATATCACTTGAGTGCCTGATAATTAAATTATCCAAATTGTAATCAGTTTTAAATAACCAAAAATGATATGGACATACTGATGCAAAATTGTAACAGTCAAGATTTCCCATTAAGGTACCAAGATGAGTTTGTTTCAAGAGAAAGGAGTTTCATGTAAGATTTGACTTATTTTTGTTTTTATTTTCAAAGGTAAGTAAGAATCTGTGCACACACTGTGAAATTCCTTGTAAATACAGGGAGCAGAGAGGCAAGTATTTTATCAGTAATTAAAGAGCTTAACAAATAATAATTATTTTGTTTATTTATCTTATCTGGAAAGCATTTCATTTTGGTTTCTTTAATGATCAAATAGAAACCTTCAATCTCACATTTGTCAGATAAGGCCATTCTGTATTGAACTCGCCAGGTTAGCCAATACTATACTGAACTTGTCAGGGGAGGTCATGCTGTACTGAACTGGTCAGGGGAGGTCATGCTGTACTGAACTTGTCAGGGGAGGTCATGCTGTACTGAACTCGTCAGGGGAGGCCATGCTGTACTGAACTCGTCAGGGGAGGCCATTCTGTATTGAACTCGTCAGGTTAGGCAATACTATACTGAACTTGTCAGGGGAGGTCATGCTGTACTGAACTGGTCAGGGGAGGTCATGCTGTACTGAACTCGTCAGGGGAGGTCATGCTGTACTGAACTCGTCAGGAAGGCCATGCTGTACTGAACTTGTCAGGGGAGGTCATGCTGTACTGAACTTGCCAGGTGAGGTCATGCTGTACTGAACTGGTCAGGGGAGGTCATGCTGTACTGAACTTGTCAGGGGAGGCCATGCTGTACTGAACTGGTGAGGGGAGGTCATGCTGTACTGAACTAGTCAGGGTAGGGCATGCTGTACTGAACTCATCAGGGGAGGTCATGCTGTACTGAACTCATCAGGGAAGGGTCATGCTGTACTGAACTCGTCAGGTGAGGTCATGCTGTACTGAACTGGTCAGGGGAGGTCATGCTGTACTGAACTTGTCAGGGGAGGCCATGCTGTACTGAACTTGTCAGGGGAGGTCATGCTGTACTGAACTTGTCAGGGGAGCCCATGCTGTACTGAACTTGTCAGGGGAGGTCATGCTGTACTGAACTGGTCAGGTTAGGTCATACTGTACTGAACTGGTCAAGTTAGGTCATGCTGTACTGAACTGGTCAGGGGAGGTCATGCTGTGCTGAAATCTTCAGGAAAGGTCATACTGTACTGAACTTGTCAGGGAAGGTCATGCTGTACTGAACTCGTCAGGAAAGGTCATGCTGTACTGAACTTGTCAGGGGAGCCCATGCTGTACTGAACTTGTCAGGGGAGGTCATGCTGTACTGAACTGGTCAGGTTAGGTCATACTGTACTGAACTGGTCAGGGAAGGTCATGCTGTGCTGAACTCGTCAGGTGAGGTCATGCTGTACTGAACTGGTCAGGGGAGGTCATGCTGTGCTGAACTCGTCAGGAAAGGTCATACTGTACTGAACTGGTCAGGGGAGGTCATGCTGTACTGAACTTGTCAGGGGAGGTCATGCTGTACTGAACTTGTCAGGGGAGGCCATGCTGTACTGAACTTGTCAGGGGAGGTCATGCTGTACTGAACTTGTCAGGGGAGGTCATGCTGTACTGAACTTGTCAGGAAAGGTCATACTGTACTGAACTGGTCAGGTGAGGTCATGCTGTACTGAACTAGTCAGGGGAGGTCATGCTGTGCTGAACTCGTCAGGAAAGGTCATACTGTACTAAACTTGTCAGGGAAGGTCATGCTGTACAGAACTCGTCAGGAAAGGTCATGCTGTACTGAACTTGTCAGGGGAGGCCATGCTGTACTGAACTTGTCAGGGGAGGTCATGCTGTACTGAACTTGTCAGGGGAGCCCATGCTGTACTGAACTTGTCAGGGGAGGTCATGCTGTACTGAACTGGTCAGGTTAGGTCATACTGTACTGAACTGGTCAAGTTAAGTCATGCTGTACTGAACTGGTCAGGGGAGGTCATGCTGTGCTGAACTCTTCAGGAAAGGTCATACTGTACTGAACTTGTCAGGGAAGGTCATGCTGTACAGAACTCGTCAGGAAAGGTCATGCTGTACTGAACTTGTCAGGGGAGCCCATGCTGTACTGAACTTGTCAGGGGAGGTCATGCTGTACTGAACTGGTCAGGTTAGGTCATGCTGTACTGAACTGGTCAAGTTAGGTCATGCTGTACTGAACTCATCAGGTTAGGTCATACTGTACTGAATTCGTGAGGTAAGGTCCTGCTGTACTGAACGCAGTGTCAGGTAAAGGTCATACTGTACTGAACTGGTCAGGTGAGGTCATGCTGTACTGAACTTCGTGAGGTAAGGTCATGCTGTACTGAACTTGTCAGGAGGCAATGCTGTGCTGAACTCATCAGGAAAGGTCATACTGTACTGAACTGGTCAGGGAGGTCATGCTGTACTGAACTGGTCAGGGGAGGTCATGCTGTACTGAAGCTTGTCAGGGAGGTCATGCTGTACTGAACTTGTCAGGAGGTCATGCTGTACTGAACTCGTCAGGAAAGGTCATACTGTACTGAACTTGTCAGGTGAGGTCATGCTGTACTGAACTAGTCAGGGGAGGTCATGCTGTACTGAACTGGTCAGGGGAGGTCATGCTGTACTGAACTGGTCAGGGGAGGTCATGCTGTGCTGAACTCTTCAGGAAAGGTCATACTGTACTGAACTTGTCAGGGAAGGTCATGCTGTACACAGAACTCGTCAGGAAAGGTCATGCTGTACTGAACTTGTCAGGGGAGGCCATGCTGTACTGAACTTGTCAGGGGAGGTCATGCTGTACTGAACTTGTCAGGGGACCCATGCTGTACTGAACTTCTCAGGGGAGGTCATGCTGTACTGAACTAGTCAGGTTAGGTCATACTGTACTGAACTGGTCAAGTTAGGTCATGCTGTACTGAACTCATCAGGTTAGGTCATACTGTACTGAATTCGTGAGGTAAGGTCCTGCTGTACTGAACGTGTCAGCTAAGGTTATACTGTACTGAACTGGTCAGGTGAGGTCATGCTGTACTGACCTCATGAGGTAAGGTCATGCTGTACTGAACTTGTCAGGGGAGGCAATGCTGTACTGAACTGGTCAGGGAAGGTCATGCTGTGCTGAACTCGTCAGGTGAGGTCATGCTGTACTGAACTTGTCAGGGGAGGTCATGCTGTGCTGAACTCGTCAGGAAAGGTCATGCTGTACTGAACTGGTCAGGGGAGGTCATGCTGTACTGAACTGGTCAGGGGAGGTCATGCTGTACTGAACTTGTCAGGGGAGGCCATGCTGTACTGAACTTGTCAGGGGAGGTCATGCTGTACTGAACTTGTCAGGGGAGGTCATGCTGTACTGAACTTGTCAGGAAAGGTCATACTGTACTGAACTGGTCAGGTGAGGTCATGCTGTACTGAACTAGTCAGGGGAGGTCATACTGTACTGAACTTGTCAGGGAAGGTCATGCTGTACAGAACTCGTCAGGAAAGGTCATGCTGTACTGAACTTGTCAGGGGAGGCCATGCTGTACTGAACTTGTCAGGGGAGGTCATGCTGTACTGAACTTGTCAGGGGAGCCCATGCTGTACTGAACTTGTCAGGGGAGGTCATGCTGTACTGAACTGGTCAGGTTAGGTCATACTGTACTGAACTGGTCAAGTTAGGTCATGCTGTACTGAACTGGTCAGGGGAGGTCATGCTGTGCTGAACTCTTCAGGAAAGGTCATACTGTACTGAACATGTCAGGGAAGGTCATGCTGTACAGAACTCGTCAGGAAAGGTCATGCTGTACTGAACTTGTCAGGGGAGCCCATGCTGTACTGAACTTGTCAGGGGAGGCCATGCTGTACTGAACTTGTCAGGGGAGGTCATGCTGTACTGAACTGGTCAGGTGAGGTCATGCTGTACTGAACTCATCAGGTTAGGTCATACTGTACTGAATTAAGTGAGGTAAGGTCCTGCTGTACTGAACGTGTCAGGTAAAGTCATACTGTACTGAACTGGTCAGGTGAGGTCATGCTGTACTGAACTCGTGAGGTAAGGTCATGCTGTACTGAACTTGTCAGGGGAGGCAATGCTGTGCTGAACTCATCAGGAAAGGTCATACTGTACTGAACTGGTCAGGGGAGGTCATGCTGTACTGAACTGGTCAGGGGAGGTCATGCTGTACTGAGCTTGTCAGGGGAGGTCATGCTGTACTGAACTTGTCAGGGGAGGTCATGCTGTACTGAACTCGTCAGGAAAGGTCATACTGTACTGAACTGGTCAGGTGAGGTCATGCTGTACTGAACTAGTCAGGGGAGGTCATGCTGTACTGAACTGGTCA